TGTGAGTAGAAATCCTTGCGTGGGCGTGTGTAGATATTGGTAAATAGAATAAGAACTCAGACTGGTGGGTGGTTTCTTGCTGTTAACACTTGTTACTCATAGTAACAGCCAAAAACTTGGCTGGTGTGGATCTTTGCTTAAGGGCATTGAGAGCCTCCTGCTTGGTTTACTTTCATTTTATTGGAGACAGCTATCAGGTTACACTGACTTTAAAATCCGGTATTTGTTTTCTCCATCTTTGGTTCCAGTTGAGGCAACTCTTATTTATTCAAAGAATTAGTGGGAAAAGCAGCAAGGCTTGGTGTTTTGGATTAGAAAAATAGCAGTCCATGGGTGTTCTTTGCATCCTCACGTGCCTTTGCAATGCAGACATTTTTTCTCACCAATTGCAGTGCTGGTTCCTTTCCTCAACCAGCCTGGTGATCAAGGGCGTCTGCACCCAAATCTGCTTCTCTTGCTGCACACTTTGCCTCCTTAAGTGTGTGGTTGCTAACCCACTTTTGTGGGTTGCTTACCCACTTTTCAGATGAGCAGCTGATTTCTTTCCCTGCTCTTTCCCTTTCTTTTCCTCCTGCCATGAATCCCCTTGTCACTTTTTACTTGCCCAGTGTCAGGTTTGTGTGCAGGTGTAAGCAGGAGAAGAAGCAGAGAATTCCTGCTCCCTGCAAGGAGGCAGGAGTGGGCTGGGAAAGGGGAATAATTAGATCTACTTGGTTTAATTCATTCTGAAATAGGTTCTGTTTGCACAAAACAAGAGTTAAACCACTGCCTCCCCCCCCAGCCTTGGGAGCAGGCAGCACCTTTATGTGCTACAAGAATTATGCATTTATCCTTATTATGCATTTATCTGCATCCTGGAGACACAGCTAAGAGGGACAATCTGCTGAACTGCAGGTCCTTGCAGCACCCCTCGATTTTGGTAAAGAAGTGCCAAGAATAACTTTTATTACAAACACCTGAAAGAAATCTGAGGGCTGGAAACTTGGGTCTGTTTTCAGTCACACTGAATTTGCATAAAGAGCTTCAGTATTTCCTCAGGAAGGTGAAATTAGAACCACAGCAGACTTTCCTTAGCGTTGAGCTGGATTCTTTCAAGCCTCCCAACCTGAGCAGGCATCACAATTTCTACAAAGCTATCAGGAAAACACTCTTTGAATAATATTTTTAACCTATTGTGTTTAGTCTTATTAAAAATAAGCTTCAAAAAGTCAAGTGTAACAGTTCCATGTCATGGCCCTTTAGCAGTACTGGACCCACAATTAAAATCTGAAAGGGATGTTTTACATGGAAATTTCTTAGGAAGGTCATTTTGCTGTATACAGAGAGAAAAAGATCTGTATCTGCAATAAAATTTAAATGATGGCCTTTGTTTTGAGCTACTTCAGGGCAGTGTTTAGTGAGTGAGTACCATCTGTAAAGGATTTTTATGAGGCAGAAAGATCTGTTTTCATAATACAGTTTTTATTGTCAGGGGCTGGGCATCTCTAAGTGGTTTGGGCCTGTAGAAAATCTGACTGCAAATAGGGCAGGGTAAAGGAACACCTCTAGGTAACTGTGAAAATGCTCACTTTGAGTCTAAAGCAATCTTTTCCCCAGAAAAAAATGGAGTAAAATGTTTTCTGGATGTGCCTGCCCTCAGACCAGCTGTTTTGACCTGGTAGGATGTTCTTTTCCTCTGCATTTTTGTGGAACAATTCCCCAGGAAGCAGAATAAATACCTTGTTCAGGGAAGCAAAAGGAAAATCCCGTTGCTGGGGTGTGGTCAGTGGAAGAAAACATTTTCAGAGCGTGGAAATTTGGGGGAATATGAATACATTCAGCTGGCTGTGCTTGTGGATAGCCAAGGGTTTTGTGGGATAAACTGCTCCACCTGATGAAGGTGCACAAGGCAGCCTGGTCTGAGGATGCTGATTTGAGTGTGGATAAATTCTCTGGAGTTTACAAATGCAGGCAGACACAGGTAGGGGTAAAAATCCTCCTTTCTCTAATCTGAATTAGAATTAAATTAGTATAAAAAACATATGTGAGTTTAAAGAGATGTTACTTGCCTGGAGCTTTTCATCATGAATTCTCCCTCAGCATCGTGTCCTGGGCCCAAGGTAGTGTAAATTGCTTGATCTTTAAGGTTGGTGTTGAGACTCACTTGTTTAGTAAGACTTGAATGGAGGCTTTGCCCCAGAAATGTTTGAAGATTGTTTAGATGTAGAGGTTTACATAAACCCTGAGACCTGCTCTCAATGTAACAGTAACTGTGGGGTTAATTTTGGTTTTATTTTAGCTAAAATGTTTTAGGGGGGAAAGTTAAATCCCTAATTTGACGAGAAAATGGGAAAAAGAAAGCTCTATGAGTGCATTGTGTGTGAAAGCTGTAAATAATCACAGTAAATGCAGTTAAGAGCCTTTGAGGAACATAGCAGGCTGCAATTAGTAGCAAGTTGAAAAGCTGCCAGGCACCGAGGGAACTGATTGAAAATAATGAAAAAAAAAATTATTAGAAGTGGGGCCATTTTGTAAAGAAATGTGAGAAAGCCTTTGAAATAGGAAAGGTAAAGGTTATGGAGATGTTTGGCTGGTGGCTGTTGTGGGGTGAGGGGTTTGGTTCTTTAGACTCAGTGCTGGAAGACTGGAATAACAGCAGGAATAAACCAGTTTAATCTCATGATATCTTGTTTGTGCCAAAAAGTATTGTTTGATACTAAGATATTTGTTACCAGCTACATGACTTAAAAAAAAAGGAGGAGGGGGTGGTGCTGTCAATCACCCGGTTGCTTAAACTGATTGGGATGAACAGCAAGGAGCATCCAGAATTCGGGAATTTCCCCACTCAGGTTTTATGGTGAGACATCGACATCCCGTGAATGGCTGGGGGAGCGCAGAGCTCGGGTGGTGTTTTGTGAATTAAACCTGAGACATCCTGTCCCGGCCACGCTCCGCCCACGCAGGGGCTGAGCTCGCCAACAACGCGGCTTTGTTTGGGCTCTCCGGTGTTTCTGCTCGGGATCCTGGGGCACTTTGTGGTGACAGCGTCTTCAACTCGGAGGTATCAGCTGCAAATCTGTGAGAGAGACCGACAATAATTACAGAGCAGAGGATGTGAACAGTGCGGGAACACTTCTGATCCTTCCCAGCTTCCTGTGCCTGTCAATGCCCTGAAATCTCAACCTGTGGCTGCAAAAAACAGCCCAGCCCAGCCCCAAAATTCAGTCTCGTGCAGGTAGGTGTGGGCAAAAAGGAAGAGGATCATGGCATGGTGTGAGCTGCAGCGTGGAAAAGTCACTGAAGACGGTTTCTTCACCCTTTCCTGCTGAATTCTCCCCAGGTTGGCAGCCTCATTTTGTTAGGAGTGATTTCTTGAAACGTAGCAGAACAGGCAGATTTTGTGTAGAACTGTTTCTTGCAGCTTGAGCCCGTTGTTGGAGTGACAGGGCTGTTTGGAGCTGCCAACTGCAGGAACCCCCCAGCCTGTCACAGTCCTGAGTGTTCTGTTACAGCCCCGTGATGCAGAGTCCAAAAGCAATTTTCTCCCCCTTGCTTCACCACCTGCCAGCCCTGCAAGCGCCCTTCTGATGGGGGAGGTGATTTGTCATTGAGCAATCCTTGACTGTGTCAAAATGCCAACAGTGAGTTCAAAGAATATTACAGGAAAATCAAGATAAAACCAAAAAAAAATCCTTTCTAAACCCAGTGTGTTGTAGAAAACACATATATTTGAGGTTTTCTGATGAAAGTACAAGCTCTATCCATGAGAGCAGCTTATTACCTGCCCACTCAACACCCAACATGCAACCCAAGCATGGTAATGAGCAGTTGTCTAATTGGATTCCTTCATACAGCATGGAAAACATTTTAGATTATCAGAGGAATGAAAAAATTGGTTTTCTTATAACAGTTTTCTTGATTAGGTTACTGCAAAGTTGATTGCAAGCCCAAGGAAGATACCTGGAAGCTTCCTGCAAAGAATCACTGGAACAAAATCAGAGCTTGGAGAACTACCCCAAGTTGAAGGAATTAAATCAATCTTGACAAAAAAATGAATGTTTGCTGCATAAGATGACCCATTTTTTTACCATTGCAATATCCCCTGCTCTGTGTCTGGATATTTTCAAAGCAAGCTTCATTCTCTTTCGTTTCACTGCGAACTGCGATGTCTCCAATCGCACATTTGGATCAGGGAATAAAAATCCACATCTCTGGATAAAGTTGTACAAAGTCTTGGCCACCCCTGATCACTGTGGCTGTGTCTGTGCTGTAAATTGAACATCCCAGGAGATGTCCTCTGGCTCTGAGGGCTGTGGCACAGCGTGGCTCACATCCACACAGGGTAACCCGTCCCCATCTCCAGTGACAGCCCCTGGCTCAGGGAAATTCCACTTCACCCACCCCAGACCAGCCCAGGGAATCCTGGTGGGTGGCTGAGCCGTTCCCTGCATCTTGTTCTGTTGACTGGGACAGATAAGTAGCTGAACTAGACTTTCTGACATCCTGGGCAGTAATTTGTTCAGTCATGTGTAGAAAATTCCACGCTGCAGGACAGGCCTGGCCTGGTGATGCCAGGGAAGTGCTGGGGTGGTTGTGATGCTGGAGGAGGGGCTTGGCTGTTGCAGTGCTGGGCTCTTCGTAGGTATAATCGACTTGAAGGCATTTCCTGATGTCATTAATCTGCATTTTCTTTAAGAAAATAGCTTCCCTGGACGTGCTTCCTCGAAACTGGAGTTAATAAATTTAAAATGGCTTCGACTTCTGCGAAGAACGAAGTTGTTGGGAATCTTGGCAAAAGGAAGGATTTGCATCTTAAAGCACTGTAGACTCATTAAAATTCTTCTCATGGGTAATTAAAGAAAACTGAATTAAAAAGGAAAGTTTAACAGTAAGCAGCTCACAGGCACTGGGACATTTCAAGCATGTTAAAATCAGAAAGAACCAGCTTTTGTGGCAGCAGTCTCCTCCTCTTGGATTACGTGTTGGGTTTTTTAACAAACAGCCACTTGCTGGTGGTTTCTTCAGTTGTCCCAGTAGTTTATTTCTGCCTGAGCCACACAGTCCTCTGGCACATTTGTGCCTGGCCTGGGAGGGTTTGTCAGGATGCCGAACAGGGGGGAGACTCTCCCCGAGCAGCCATGGGAGGAAAACGCAGGGAACCTTTCGGGGAGCCGTGAAAATGGGTAAAGTACCTCCAGCACTGATTTTAACAACTCACCTACCGGTTTTTCACAAGTTTGCCTTGTCCTACAGCCAGAATGGTGTCTCTAGTGCAGAGAAGAAGGTGCATCTTTAGAGGAAAATGTAGTGAAGGGCCTAAATGGGTTTATTCTCCTCTACCAACTTGTGCTGTGACGTTCAACCCAACTGCATCTTTCAGTCTGGGCCGTGTTGCTCGTGTCCTTTGGGCATGGATGTGGTGGATGGTGTTTATTTTGCAGCACAGAGGCTCTTTAACCAGCACTTCTGACAGGTGTGTTCAGCTCCTGGGGCTCAGCTGGGGGGAAGAGTAGCTGAAAATGCTGGTCAGCTGTAGACTCTTGAGATTCAGAGTATCCAGTGGCTTTTCTACCATGAGCTGAGATTACAGGCACTCTCAAACACCAGAGAGCAGCCAGTCCAGGGAGTGGGGAATAAAAAGCTGACAATCCATCTCCTGTGCCATCCCTGCATTGTCTCTGGGGGTAAGAGTGGCACTGAGCACTCTGCAAGGTCAGTGCTGGTTGCTCTGCATGTCTTACAATGCACATAATCTACATAAATGGACTTTAAACATTCCTGTTCCTGTTGCTCTGGGATGGTGTCTCCTGTTAGAGAAAACTGCCCATCTCCAGAGTTTCTGGAAATTCTTACTTTTGAAAATAGAACAGGACATCTCACGGGAAATATTTTATCTTCTGACTGTTGGAAGTTCATCAGGAGTGCCAGGTCTTAGTCTTCTCTTAAATTAAATGTAACTTCACATTTATTTAGGCAACAACTTGCATGTTATGCCTCTTGTTGGAAGATTTGCTTGGCCCTTTCAGGGAAAGGATTGTTGGGATAATTTCTGTGATAATGGTTTCTTCTCTTCTGGGCTTTGTAATCCTGTAAGGAGCAATCCAAAGATTGAAGGTTTTCAGAACAGGAAGAAGTTAAGAAATCTTTGAAAATTTTTGCATGTGTTGATGTTGCCTCTGGAATCTTAGTGCAGTTAATACTGGAATTGTCATTTTCTGTTTAATCTGTCCAACGATCATAAAGCACTATTTGACTGGTGATCAGTGTAGACATATGTACCCTCTTCCTCATGGAAGTTAGGATTTTGCTAAATCAGTAATAATGCCTTTATTTTAGTCCACCCATGCTAGAGGAGAATTTAAAAATATACAGTCGGTTTGCATTCACTGCAAACAGGAAATTTAAGCTTCCTGTATTAGAAAGATGTTTAGCATTTGGTTTGTTGTTGAATTTCTAGTGAAGGAATATCACAGACACTACAACTCCAGATACTTGTGGTGTATTCCAAGCCCTTGGCATCAAACTTCTGTCTCATTTTTTGGAAGAAGCCAGGGCAGGTTGTCCTGGTCAATAGTGTTGTTCACCTGCTGTGGTTTGAAGTGAGGGAGCAAACTCAGATACCTTTTCTTGTGTGCTGGAAGGAAGATTGCAGGTAGAAAGGACTAGACAGAGAGAATAAAATCCCAGCAAACTGGAAAGAGTTAAAAAAAGACCTTTTACGAGGCTGAAATGGAATCGGTGGGACCTAAAAGAGGAGGAAGAGGCGAAATAAGGAGCTCTGTGACCTCACCGTGCTGCACTCCCTGCAAACAGCCAGGCAGAGGCAGCTCCTGGAAGATCTGTGCTCCAGGTCTGGCTTTTTGCTGTGCAGGGGGAGGAACAGAGCCAGAAAATCCGGCCCAAGGTCAGGGGAGGGTTGTGCTTCGCTCCCAACTGCTGAATGGAGCCTTTTTTTGGGGGGAGAAGAAAAAAGCCTGGCTTTATTGTTCTTTTCTTCCTATTCAGCCACAGAGTTCCCAGCTCTCCGTAAAACTGGGCTGTCACCAAAATAACTGACCTGGTTTGGGAGGATATTTCTTCTTAACAAGGGGAAAAAGAAACAAAAAAATAAAAAATTTTAGTGCTATTTTTTGCAAGTAAGGATGTTCCCTAGAAGGTGTGTGCCGAGTGTGTTAGACAGTAAAACAGCTCTCAGCTGCTAACTTTCTCTCTTACTACTTTGTTCTTTATTAAGCATTTGTTTGGCTTGTAAATGTACCTTTGGGAGAGAAGAACTTGAGTGATTGAGGAAGGTTGAATTCTTGTGCACTGGGCAAAGCAAAGTGGGGGTGGGATCAGCTGAGCCCTTGTGCAGGAGCAGGAACGGATCTGGGTCTGGGCTCATCCCTGGCCCCCTTTTGAAGTCTCACAAGGGCATGAGAACCAATTAGCAGCGAAATGTGCCCTGTTCTTCGAGGGCAAAGGGAAATTTGAAATAGAATTCCTAAGGAGTGTGTTGTAATATTGCCCTGATTTGAATAGAGGAGTGATTAGTAAATAAGGTAACCAGCCATGTCCTTCTGTCCATCTCCTGGGACTCTCTTCTTTATTCCTTCTGATAGGAAGAATTTAAATGTCATAGAAATGGAGGGTTTGGAGAACTGCTGTTGTGTGTCATTACTGTGGGGTAATGCTGTAAAAAATGAGAAATGTCCTGAGTAACAGCTGACAGCTCCTCAGAGTCTGGAGCTGCAGTATTTACCGCTTGGCCATTTCTGGGCTGGTCCCAGATTGCAGCTGAGCTGTCAGAGCTGCAGTTGATCCCAGTCACAGTGACTTTACTGCCTTTGTCTGGAGCTCTAGGACAGATCTGTGGGTCTAAATTTATTATCTTGGGCTCACTCCTCCAATCTGTCCCCAGAGCTCTGTTTTAAAATATTGGATTTGGCTCTTGCAGGGTGCAGGGGGAACGGGGAAAGGGTTTCTCAGGAATGGGATGCAGATGAAGATATTTGGGTTCTGAAGTCTCAAGGCAAAGTGCCAGAATCATTACAGCTTTCAGGGGTACCCACAGGTGATTTAAGCCCTTGCTTTTTGCTGCCAGAAGAGTTGTCAGGTGAATACTTAATGATTCCATCTCCAACTCCAACGCCACGATGAGCTGTTGAAAATGTCTAACACCCAATGAAAAGTTCTTAAGAATGTGCAGCTGTAGCCCCAAAACACTCCCCAGAGCAGCTCTGGTGCAGAGCAAGGCTGGGGGAGTGTGTGGAGCTGGGTTGTCCTGGGGAACGTGGAACAAAAGCTGAGGGGGTGGGAACTTCTCAGTGTTGGAACAGAAATAAATATTTAGGACACTTGTCACTCAAAGATAGGCACTGAGTGGGGGAAGGATGTTTTATCCTCCACTTTATTGGGGATTACTTGAATAATCACAAACCACCAAGCTTTCTGAGGAGGATTTTTGAGGAGGAACTCCCCAAGTCATCCTCAGGAGAAGCAAGCAGTGACAGACTTAAACAAAATTTACAGACAAGTTCTGTCCTGGGAAAATGAGTATATTCCCATTCAGCCTATTTTTATGTTTCTTAAATCAGACTCATAGTTAGGAAAGCCAGTTCAAGGAAAGTGTTTGAGAAAGAAAGTCCTTGTGTAAATGGGGCAAGGCAAGCAGAGGAAAGGGTTTAATTCTGAGGTTGTGTTGTAAGAAATATGAAATGATGCAACTGCCCCGTGGCTGAGCCTGGACATGATGTGCTCTGAGGGACAGCAGAGCAGAGGAAGGAGCTGCAGAGCTCTGGATCATCACAGGGAGGGTAAAACACACCTGAGCCTTCCTGAGAGCCACTGAGGCTGGAAGCAGGGCTGGGACAGCATTCCCAGGAGCAGCTGAGAGGCTTTGCTTTCTGGAAAAACACGGGAGCGACAGGGAAATGGTGTGCACTCAAGGGAGATTGTCTGCACTCAGCAGATGCTGCTGCTGAGCACTGCCCCGTTGATGGCTGTGTTCCTTGTTGCAGACAACCTGCAGGGTGATTTATTTTGAAGGGGTAAAAGCACAGAAATCGTGGAACAGGTTTATGATGAAAGCTTTGGAAGTGAAATGGGCCTGGACTGCAGGGACGTGGTTGACCAGAGGCACCTTGGACACACTGGTCTAGGCCTCACATAAACCTCAGCTTACCTGAGAATGCATGCTGTGAATGCAGAATCTTCAGCATTTCTCATACATTAAACCATTAAAAATAGCTAATTAACAGAAATCTTTTCAGTAAATGGTGAGCTCACACACGTGGTACGACGGGATCCAGGAGCGAGGCGGGAGAGGAGAAGCTGAATGATGGGAGAAACCTCTGCAAGGGATGGAGGAGGAGATGGGATCTTCATCCTGAATCCAGCAGCAAGGCCTGGGAGCTGGGAATGTGGCTCCTGGGTGAATGCTTAGAACTACTGAGTGGTTCAATTGCCAAAAAAATGTTGGTTCAAGCCTTTGTGAGCGGCTGTGAATGCGATTTCCAGGCTTAAAAGCACTTTGACTTGCTTTATGTGTGTAAGGAAATATGCTGAAGTCTAAAGGGGTACCTTTACCTGGCTAATATATTAACAATTTACAATATATTAACAATTTATTAACAATGTATAGGAATACAAGCAGAAGATGAGATGTTTTTTGTCACCATACATGATCTGTTTAATGACTGCTGCAAACCAGGGTTCATATTCTCTTGGTGCAGTTCATGATGTTAGAAATCACCCTGCAGAATTAAGGCCAAAATATATCATACCCTAGAACCTAAATTTTGAAATTTGGGAGAAAATATTCTAACCCAATTATGCAGGACAAGCAGTGTGTCCTGTAAGGCTCGTTCAAGTGAGGATTTCTGTAAAACATTTTCTCCATGGAAATCACTGGCTTATGATCACATTAAAGACCGAGTTCATAGATTCTCTCCATTTTTATTGTTATTATTTTCACAAAATTTTACTACGAGGAAAGAATTTAGATGACAGCAAATATCTGTTTTTGACCTAGAGAATGAGTCATAAGCAGAAATTCTAATTACCAGAGAAGGAACCACAGAGCCCGTGGAAGGAAAAGGCTAATTCCAAATTCCCTTTAAACAAAACACAAAAAAAAACCCCACTATGGCAATTAGTATCAGAGTGAGTAGTGCCATTAATCACTCAGCATCGTTGTGGTGACAGAACAAACAGCTTTTCCAGAGGGTGATTTGCACCAGAGCATTTTGTAACGAGCTGTTACAATCAGGGGAACTCTGGAGGAAAGGAACCTTTCGCTCGATTATTCCAATATATGGAATTTTCAGGTTCTTGCTTTCCAGGTTGGCCTGGTTGTTTGGGAACAGCTTCAGTGGGAAGCAGCATCCAGCAGGTGGGTTGTGCTTGGCCCCAAACCCCCTGGACAGACCAATCAGCCTGAGGATCCTGTGCCTCTGTCTCAGCTGAAGGGAACCTGTTGGATGAGGTCACGTTTGCTGGAATGGCACCTGGAAATGAAATCCCAAACGACATCAGGAAATGCTGTCATTGAAAAACCACCCCTGCTAATGGAGCTCTCCAGAAATAAGCTTTGTTTGGTTCTAGCTGGTCAAGGTTTTGTAACGTGCCATCAGTTTGTTTTGATTGACTTGTCCAAGCGACCTCAGCTGTGAAATCCTCTCTGTGTGTGTGACCTGTGCAGGTTTTTCTGGGTTACCTTTGGAATTGTCAACTTCCAGCAGAGAAATCCGACTTGGAGAATCCACCTCGAAATCAGTAGCTGGGTTTTAGAAAACCTGCACTGATAACAGTGAATAATTCATGCAGAACCTCAATCTTAATAAAATATTCAGGAGCCCAAGCCCAGATTTACAAAACATTCCAGCTTTGCTGAGGCACCTCAGCCCCGAGCTGGTCACTTATTTCTCTATAAAGTGGACATAATATAAACTGAACCAGAAATCTATAACAGCTGAGACTAAAGCAAACAAAAGAGATATTAACTTAGGGAAAGTCACTGCTGATGTTTATTAAATTTGGAGTAGCCTCAGAGGAGGCTCTTCTGATTCATGACTAGAGAACTGTTTTCTTCTGAAGGCCTTTTTTTTTGCTATTTGTTTTCCTCAAAAGTAATGGTCAGCTCTCTTGAGACTAAGGCTTTGTTTGGTTTGGTTTGTGAAATAATAGAAGTTTTCAAAGCGTGGTTGAGGCCTTTTTAAATCGTTATTTCACTGTGAATAACAAGAATAAATTCCAGGAGTGTTCCACATAGAAGTATTTTACAAGTGTGGGTGTCAATGGGAGATAGGAAACAGTGTCTGAGGAGGGGTTTGGTCCTGCTGTTTGCACCTGACACTGTTGGTTTAAAAAAATAGGTTTTGAAGTTGTTATTTCTTTGAAAGGCGGGAAGGGCATCATTTCAACTTTCTTCTCCTACATTTTGAGTTAATTTATTTTACAGTGTGCAGGGGGAGGACTTTCTGAGCTTCACTCAGGACTCTTCTGTTGAGAGGAATGAAGGGAATCCTGACATGTTCTTGAAATGAAATGAGCTAAATTAAAAAAAATCTTTATGCTGCTATTTACGAATAATCTGGAGTTATTGTGAACTGCTGTTCATGAATCATCTGCAGCTCATTGCTGTCTGCAGTAGGTCATTTCCAAATGCTTACTTACTGTTTGGATGCTTTGCTCATGTAACTTTGCAGTCTTTGCAGGCTTTTTGGGTTGGAGTTTGTATTTGTGCTTTAAATTTGGGTCTGTTTAAGCCACAACAAGTTAATGTCATCCATGTGTTAATGATAATTGGTTGTGTTGGGGAAGTGTTTGAGAAACTTTGTTATTATTATTGTTACTATTAGTTTTTCTTTCCACCTCAAAACATGGTTGTTTTTGATTGTTGATTGTATTGGATCCCACTGGCGCTCCTGGATAACTTGTTGATAGTTATATTTTCTTTTAGAAGCTTTACAGAGGCACAGACTGACTGCAGGGATTCACTGCCCCACCTGGAGGAGGCCCAGGATGAAGGCACAGAGCCAGCAGGTGAGCCTGTCAAAGGTGATCCGTGGAAATTTGAGCTCTTTTTGGAATTGTTTTTTTTGAATTATGATGGAATTTGTATGGCCATTCTAGCAGGTTGTGACTGGGAATTTTTCAGGGCTGGGGTAAGGAGAGGAAAACTAAAAATAAAACCCGAAGTGAGTCAGGAGCTGTAAATCTGAATGAAATTCAAGAGTTTCTCCCAGTTTTTGTCTGTATTTGAGGCAGTGATCAGATAAGAGTGAAAAACAGACTGATCCCATTTTAAATCACCCAAACTGAGTTACCTTTGGCATCCCCAGCTGTCACCTGGGGAGGATGAAAGGAGGATTTTTAGCAGAACTTTGGGAGGTTCCTTGGAAGCTTTGCTGTCCCTGTTGCCTTGGTGAGGCTGCTGCTGGTACCTAAATGTGCCCATTTAAACAGAATATTTGTTCTCAGAGACAGGTGGAGCAATGACTGCACAGATACCAGATCTGTGTAGGAATCTCCCAGGCAGACTTTATACACCTGTATAAATATATGGATATATATGGATATATCTTTATTTATTTTAAAAGGCACAGTAGGTTCTTTCCCAGAATTGAACTGCCAGCTCTACGCTTTTTTTGTTCTTCCAGCAAGCAGGAGAAAAGTTTGGATGGATAAAGGTGATAACTGACTCCTGGTGTGCAATTTTCAGGGTCTTGCAGTGAACTATTTGAGGCACACGTTCTATATTTACATCATCACCCAGCCTGTGCTTCTGCACACAACTTGTGCTCTCAGGAAGGCTCTGACCTATTTTTTCTAAGAATTTATCTGGGACTCTGGTTACTGCTGTCAGCCACCCACCCTGCCTGCCTCCCAAAATGCTGGCTGCAGTTTACAGAAAGCTGCTGAGGAAGGAATGCACGTGCAGTGCAGCCACTCCTGCACTGGTGATCACAGCTGTGCCACGCAGGGAGCTGAGCAGCGAGGGGAGAGGCCCTTCCAGCTCTTCCCTCACAATTTCAGTGGCTCTACATTTTCTCTAAAGAGAAAAGAAGGAGATTCTGATGTTTTCTACTTGTGCAGAACTGCCCTTCTCTTGCTTTATAATTGACGCGTTCTGTGACCTCAGGACTAAATTTACTCAATGAGGACCGCAGATTGTTCTGGAATTTTTTCCCCATTCCTTTCCACCAACGTGTAGAAGCTCATTCCTGTGGAAGCAGGCCGGATTTGGGGCTTTCTGATGCATCTGTAAATCCAGAGTACCCTTCCTGCTGGCAGCAAGCTTTACATTGACTTAAAACCAGCGTGAAGGGAGAAGAGAACTCACTCATGCTGGCTTTATACTGATGGAATCACAAAGTGATTTCTGTTGCAAAAGACCACTGGAGGGCAACTCTCTGCTCAGAGGAGGGCTTGTGGCTTTGTTCAGCTGAGTTTTGGAAACCTCCAGGGATGGAAATTCCACAGCCTCTCTGTCCCTCTCCTTAAGCTGAGTCACCCCCATTGTGAAATCACTTTTCCTGATCCAGCAGGAATTTTCCTTGCTGCAGCTCCTTCTGTGGGGTGCTGAGGTCCAGCAGGAGGGATTGTTGTGTTGGTCATTCCTCGGGTTTGGTGTCATCTGTAAGCTGGGAGTGCCATCCCTGAGCGGTGTCGATCTCAGGAGTAACCCCTGGAGAATGTCACTTGTCGTGACTGCCCTGGCTGCACTTGGAATTGTTGACCACTGCTCTCAGAGACGAGTCATCCTGCCAGTTTTTTATCCACCTGTTCCTCCAACTCCACCTGGTTCAAACCATCCATGCTGGGCTGTGGAGAACTTGTTAAAGACCTTGTGAAAGGTAAACAGTAAACCAACCTGCCACTGCTCTCCCCGTGTCAGAGCCAGCCAACTCATCCTGGGAGGTGGTTGGGTTAAATTTCCCAAGGCCAAATCCATTCTGCCTGGCCTCAGTGACCATTTTAGAGCTCAGAATGATCTCTAGGAGAGTTTGTCCTACAGCCTTCATTGGCAGGGAGCAGCCTTGCAGTGGCTTTGCCCTGCTTTCTCAGTGCCCACTCTGGAGCATCTCACGTGGTCCCATCAACACTTCTGTGTGTCCAGTGTGTGCAGGTGGTCCCTACTTTGATTTTTTTTCTGCTCTAGGTAAAACACCTCACCTGTCACTGGGCATGGAACCCCAGGGAGCCTGATCCTGCTGGTAAATGCTGGGGTGAAAAGGCCCTGGGAGCATCAGCCCTGTGTCAGTAAATTGCCCAGGATGTCCCTGTGTTCCTGTAAAATCCCTTCTTGTGGCTCTTCCCAGAGCTCTGAGTTTTGGCTTTCCATGCCTGCATTGCCTGGGCAGTGTTTCTGTGCTGATGTTTGCTCCTGATTACACCCTGCACGCGTCTCATTGTAAATGGTTCTCGCAGCGTCGGGGCTGTTACGAGGCTCGTTTTGGGCTTGCACCACTCCCTCCACCTCAGCTCACAGAGGATTCTTTGCAGCATATCTCATGTCCCTGACCCACACCTGCAGGAGTTCCCTGCTGTGAAGAGCAGTGTATTTTATTATTTTATTATTCCACGAACCGAAAGATTCGTGTGTGATTTTTGCTGATTGAAAACGATTTCCTGTGTTTATTCAGTCTTTCCTGGTTGACAGTGTAAGGTTAGATGTTTGTTGTGGAAAACTGGGAATACAGAAAGCCCTTTTCCTCCCCCAGCTGTGGCAAGGCAAGCAACAGGAAGCTGTTTACTGGATTTTATTGGGAGAATCATTGTGTGTCTAATCTGGCTGATACTTTCAGGTTCACTTTCAATTCTGGACTTTTGTTTAGTCTGTTTGTTGGCACAAGGGGAAGTTTGACACAGATACCCCAAGCTCTTAAATTCCAGCCTGTGTGTACTCAGCTTTTCCTAAAAAGAAATGAATCTCTCAGGGGTCACAGATAGCTTGAAGAAAAGTAAAAAAAAAATAAATAAATAAAGAGGGGAGGAATGCTGAGTTTGTGTTGTCAGCAGGATGTGATGGCATCATGGCTGTGGAATCTGGGATGATGAGTGTCAGGAATGCCTCCAGCAACGAGCTGGGTTCCTGCTCTCCTCGTTAGGGCAGAGGGATGTTTTGCAGCAACTGGCATATAATCAAAACACTGGTTTGGGAGTTAAACCTGATTCACTCTCAAGCAGAAGTTAAATTATTAGTTCAGTTCCTGCTTCTCAGGGCACATCCGTGGAATATGGCTTGGAGCTCCCGGGGTGATGCAGCAGGGCTGTTTGTTTACCTGCCTGAAAGGTGACCTTGGATCTTCTGCATTTTGGGTGGCTCTCAGAGCTGCTCTTCCAGAAGCATCAGAATCCATTTACATTCTCAAGGTTTCATTGATTATGTTAGCTCCAAACTGTAGGATTAGTGTATTTCTCTTCTAATTTTCTTTTTTTTTTAAACTAGTACACAGTTTCCTTTATACATCCCAGAAGGCCCAGCATTTTCAGCCAGACTGATTATTCATGAAGAAAAAAAAAAAATTAAATATGGACTTTTTAAAATATGGACTGTTTGTTTGTGTGTTTAAAGTCGTTTTTGGTATCTGGGCTGGGAAACACAGCCTGTACTGTGTCAGAACTCTGATATCATACCTGGTGGAAGGAATAAACTGGCTGATAAAAACACAACATGGTTGCATCCAGGGAACTTCCAGTGGCATCGAGTACTTCAAGCTGGACTGTGGTTTGTTTTTTCCTCTGCAAACCTCCAGCTGGATAATGTACCAAAGCTGAGAGTGTATTTAGAGGGGGTTTATTCTGATTTATTATTCTGATTTCCTCTTTGGTTTCAGGAAGTTCTGAGTTCATTTCCAGCCTGGATATTGCAGTTTACCTTTCAGATGTCAGCAAGGCAGAGCACCTATTTTGCTTTTCCCAGAGTTTATAATTGACACATTCAGGATTTTGCCAGGCATTCCTTCCCGGGCTATTTCTGAGAAGAAAGAGCCCTCTGCTCAAAATCCCTCTGCAATCAGATTTGTAGAATTTTTTGGCTTATATCTGGATTTCAGAACTGCTTTGAGAGAAGTTTTACCTGCCAGTACATGCAAAAGCAGACACTGAATGAGCATTTAGGTTTAGACTCATTTGCTCTGTGTCTTGTGTGTTCTTAAGGTGATGCCCAGAGTCTCTGAAACTGGTTCTGTTCTTAGTCTTTGGTGGGAATCAAAGATGCCTTTTCGACCCTGGAAAAACCTTCATAAAGAAAAGCAAAAGGAAACGTCGTTTCCAAGTCCAATTTTGGTTTCTGTGTGTAGATATTTCAGTGATGGGATGGATGATTTGCACTCTTGTTCTGTTCTCTCCTGTCCCTCTGCAGTGAAAAGGCAGTAATCATGCAGCCTTTTGTCCTGTGAGTTTGGGAATGCTGCTGATATTTTCACTTTCCTTGCAGAGCACTCTTTGATAACCCATGAACCAGGATGTTGTATTTTAGCTCTGTGTAGTACAATTTTATTTCCAACAGGGCAGTCACCCCTCTGTCCCCAAAAACACCTGCAATCCCTGCCCTCCTTGGCTGCTTTAGAAGCCAGAACATCTTTATAGAGAGTTTTTCATCTGGGCTTTGGTGTGTCCCTGCAGAAAATAAGCATTTAGATTAACAACAGCCTCACACCAGGATTGGGGTTAAGAGCAGAAACACCTGCTTTGCCTCCTCAACTCATCAAATATTTATTGGGTGCTGCTGTTTACACTGGAATAAAGTCTGGTCTGCAACCTGAAATCCTTCATAGCTGCTTGTTTTCCAGACTCTCAGGGTTCACGATGCCCTCTCTTCGCTGAGCTAAGCAGAGCTCCACACCTATGTTTTGAAAATCATTACGTGCAATTTGCACGGGGAGATGAAGCAGCTTTATTTGTATTTATTGCTGTCATTAGCACCTTCTGTTTGTCAAGAGAACCAATGCAAATCTGCCAGCCAGGGGCAGGAATGGAACATAAATGTTTGGGACAGCTTGCAACAGCCTCTGGTTGTCGGTGCAGATTGCAGGGCCTGACTGAGGGAGGCTGCAAGTGTGTCCTGAAGAGCTCCTGTATATTTATGTTTATGCTAAAAATATTTCTTGATTTATGAACGTGAACCTAAGCAAGAAAAACCTTGTTCTTACGATGTCCTTGTGCTGTTTTGGTCAGGAGTGCTTTTATACTCAGCCCTTTGCTGGCTTTGCAAGAGCCAAATCTTTGAGACAGACGTTTCTTGTGATGTCCTTGGCACCGGTGGTGAGAGCCAAATGGCACTTGTTGGTGCTCTCTGTCAAGGGAGGGGAGGGAAAACACAGGGAGAAAAAAGGGGATGGGGGAAAGGCAGGGTGAGGAAAACAAGAGCAGAAATAGATGGGAAATGACATGGAAACAGGGCAAGATAGGAGTGGGTGGAGTGGATGTACAAATTAGAACAGGGGGCAGATGACCAAGGAAAAAACTGTGGGAAGCAGTGGAGAACAGGGACAGGATGAGGGACAAGAGTTATAACAAGCAAAAGGAGCTTGGATACTGAGTAGGATTAGAGGTTTCAGCTCTTTTGGATCTCTGCAGCCTCCTGATCCACCGACTACTGCACCAGCACAGGGAGACCTGCAGGCTGAGCATGGGCAGGCTCTGCTCTGCAGTTGGGGGTGTCTGGAACACACAGAAGATCAACAGAACTCTGGACAGTGGCACTGGTGTTCAAGGTGCAGAACAAAGTGTAACAGATAATGATTTCTCCTTCTACAGGGTGTGTTTGGCAGCAGGAAAATTGGGAAGCCCCTCTCTCCCAAGGTGGGAAGTGCCAGAGCTGTGCCCAGCCTCGTGGTGCTCATTCAGCCCTCCTGTGCTCTGATACACCCTCACATGGTATTTTCCAGTGCCAGAACACCTTGACAACTGTGCTTTACCTTCCAGAGGGCCTGTGGACCTCCCTTGCTGATGGCAGAGTCAGACTGAGAGTGGATAATTCGTGTCCACAGACTCCCATAACAGTCCATCAGATGTTCAAGGAGAGCCTGGAAAAATACGGGTCCCTTTATGCTTTGGCCAGCAAAAAGAACGGAAAGTGGGAGAAAATAACTTTTTCAGAGTATTATTGCCTCTCCAGGAAAGCAGCCAAGAGCTTCCTGAAGGTGGGTACAGCAAACAAAGCCATTTCATTTTCTCCCTTTGTCTCCTTTAAAAAAAAACAAACCAACCAAACAAAAAAAAAAAAGCAAAAAAACCCAAAACTCTAAGAGGCTTTATTCATTATTTGAAGATCAGTAGTCGTATTTTTAATTGAAATAATGATGAAAATGGGTCAGGGGAGCCTGGCTGCAGGTGGAGAGCTGCTGTGTTGCACTCACTGTGGGACGAGGGCACAGAGCTCAGCATGAGGCTCTTGAGATTAAAACCAGAACACCAGGGCAAAGCAGTGCTGTCATGAATTTGGTGAGATAAAGACAGTTTCTAAAACCCTCTAAATACTGGTCCTCATTATGTCTTGTTCATCTGGAACTGTTGTGGGTTTCAGGCCTCTCTGGGCAGCAGAGCTCAACCAGCCAGGACAAGGGAGTGGAAAAGTCACATCATGTTACTGCTGGTAAATGCTGGGTTTGCTGTGGATGCCAGAGCAGAGGTGTGTGTGGACATGCCCTGTCAATACTGCAGCAATCCATCAGGAGCTTCTAGCAGGAGTTTGTGTCTTTGTTCCTCTCCAGTGTGCCTACATTTTATAACCTCATGCTTGTTGTTTTTCAGCTCGGTCTGGAACGATTCCACAGCGTAGCAATCCTTGGATTTAATTCTCCAGAATGGTTCATCTCAGCTGTGGGAGCTGTTTTTGCTGGGTAAGATTTTTTTAGGGTGGGATGGGGGTGTTGATTTTGAAGGGCTTTGGAGATTTCTGTTTTGCTAGAGGTGGAAATGTAGCAAATAAGCATTTGCTGTCATATTTTGGAAGTTGGGTTGCTACTGATTGGCATGTTCAGCAACCTACTGGAGTCTCTTATCTGAAATAGTCCAGACACTCCTAAGTTGATCCTGTTTGCTGTGGGTTTAACTGGGACAGAAGCTGTTGTACAGTGTTTTACCACTGGAAGATGTGGGACACAGATGAGGCTCACAGTTCTATATTAATGATATTTGTCTGCTGCAAGATATGTTCAAGTAGGTGAAGTAACAAATGAAGATTGGCCAGACTGATTCCTTCTGTCCTGACACCTGTTTACACAGTTTGGGTTTTACTTCTTAAGCTGTTCTGTGCCAGTGAAATCCAAATTGGTGCCTGTGTGCAGCTGGAACAGAAAGAGGACATGACTGGGCATTTTTTACCACTTGCTGAGCTGACTCTTGTGCAGCCTCAAGTGGGTTCAGACACTGAATCCCAGCCTACAGCACCTTCTGCTGAGTGGAGTTCAGAGATCAGTATTTGCAATGTGCATAAATCAGAGATTTAGATAAATATCTGTATCTGAATACATGAAATAAATGTGCTGTGTTTGCTTCTACATCTTCATACTCTTTCAGCTTTCACCTGATCCTTGATTATTACTCTTTTTTGCTACTAAGTGCATGTATATGTGTGTGTATGTGTATAAATATGTGTTCTTATATATATATATATATATAAATTTTTTGATTCAGAGGAATTGTCACAGGAATATACACCACCAATTCTCCAGAGGCCTGTCACTACATTGCTCATGACAGCAAAACCAACATCATGGTGGTGGAAAATCAGAAACAGCTGGACAAGATAATGCAGGTATGAGGTGATTGCTGGAAAGCCACAGTTTTTCCATTTCTCAGTGCTGTGTTGATCCCAGCCACCATGTGCACTATCTGCATCATGGAACCTTTCTTGGGAGTGTTCTTACTCAGAAATCCAGTGTCTGGTGCTTGAGCTCGTGGGTCCCTTGCTGCCCTGCCCTCTCCAGGCTCTGTGGCTCCAGCAGAGCTCACTGGATGATTCCCTGAAAAAACTCACCTTTGGATCCCATGTTTTCGCTGTCACCACCTGCTTCTGTTGGGCAAAGCACAGCCCACTTGACTGAAGGGATTGCCCTGGTGCAGGTTTGTAAAAGGCCTGCACTCCAAACATGAAGTGTGCCAGTGTTCAGGAATTCCTCTTGCCCAGGGAAGCATCTTATCCTGCTTGTCATCTCTTGTGTCAGCCATCAAGCCTCTTGAGTTACTGCATGGAGGGTAAATGAGTTATGAGGTTAAATACATGTGGTTAAATAGCATGGTGGGTAAATGAGTTACATGGTTAAATATATATGGTTAAATAGCATTAAATAGCAACGAGACAGAGCTTAGTGAGAAAGGAGGAGGAGCTTTTTTAGGTGAGCAGCCCTGACTGGGTTTCAGCAGCAGTGCCAGAGGGAAAGACCAATTTAACAGGAGGATCCTGGATGCAGGACTTGGGGAGGAGCCCAGGAGAACAGGCAGCAACCTGGGAAGGGTTTGTCTGTCTGTCTGTCTGGCACATGTTGAGGGAGGCCCTGGCTGGAGATGACCCATCAAACCTGCACCAAATTGCAGTTTGCTGAAGCGAGGGGGCCTTCCATGGTGGAGTTTTCTGCCACAAACATGTACCTGCCACACAGAAAACATCCAGTGGGGTGTTTTTTTTTTTTCAAATGTATTTGATAAAAGTTTTGCATTAACAACTTTGTGTTTAGTGGCTTTTTTTTTATGTGTGACTTGTAGGAAGACAGGTTTTTAGAAGTGTTCTACAACAGAGGGTTTGTCCAAACATTTTTTTTCCTGCAAGAACCCAAGACAGAAATGACAACACCCCATTTCAGTCGCTGTCCTAACAACATATCCACAGTGGCTGCCATCGAGCCACTGCTTTTATCCTGGCACAGCTTCAGTTCCAAACGTGATCAGTGAGGGGCCCGGGGAGTGGAGTGCAGTGAATGTTTTCTGCAGGCCACACAAAGCACACCCAGAGCTCCTGAAAGCAGCAGCCCTGGCTGTTTTCCTGTGAGCCTGCAGCTTTATGCTCTGATTTATCCACGTGGCTCCCTTGCCTTTTTACCTCGAGGAAGTTGAATTTTTTTAGCCCCTGAACCCCAGTTTTTGCTGAGGGACTTTATTGCCAACCACAGCAAGCTCCCAGCTTGATCTGTGCTGCTCCTCGAGGTGCCCTGCTGGGCACTGTGAGCAAGGATGCTGAGGAGCCATTTGGGGTGTATTTTGGGGGATTTTTTTATACCTTTTAACTGACAGCAGATTTTCCAGAGCAGACTGTGCAGATTGTGGAGTCCCCTCCTCCTTCCCCCGCCTCTCGTTGAGCTATCTGGGGGTGACTTCAGGGCAGAATATTTGGGGGTGGAGGGAAACAGGAGGGGTTCTGTGCCTGTCAAGCCATTACAATTTTGGCAGTATTTTAGTGGGAAAGTTAAAAAAAAAAAAAAAAAAAAGCCCACACAAGAGATGAATAATAAATAATAAATTTGTTTTTAAAAAACCCAACAGATCTGGGATCGTTTGCCACACTTGAAAGCTGTTGTGCTATATAAGGACTCCATTCCAGAGAGACATCCAAATTTATATACGGTATGTGAGTGCTAGAACAGACTTAAAATCCATGGGGCATTATTTAGTTGAGAAATTTCCACTCTGCTTTGTCAGCAGAGTGTCATTTGGAATGCACTGCTGTGTTCCAGCAAGCACATTCAGAAGCTTCATCAGCTGTTTCTGTTTCATTTACCTGTAATTTCACGTCTAATACTTTACATCTAAAATTAGACATACCTTGCTTAACTTTATCTTGTGTCTTCTTGGTGTTTAAATTCACTGGATTATTAAAACACCTGTTATTCCCACCTCTTCAGGTGGGAATGTGTGCTCTCCAATGGTTCAAAATAAAAGTTGGGCCCTGGTGAAAACTGACTCGTGGTGATCACCCTGGATCCAAGAACGTGGGAATGCACCTTTTACAGATGATGGCTGCATTTTGTTTGCACCAAATATTCCTGGTGATGGGCAGCAAGTGAAGAGAAAGGACTGTGGACTGCACAGAGCAGCACATTTGCTTAGTACACGTAGAATATTCACGTTACAGGTTAAAAATAAAAGAAAAAAAAAAAAAGACAAAACCAGGATGAGAAATTTCTGAGTGGTAGAAGTTCAGCCTTTAAAGAGTGTGAGGGCTTTTGGAAACGTGTTATTCTGATATATTTTGAAAATGTAATTGTACCTCAGTAATCCTTGAGCAATAAGAATAACTTGGGCTGACATACACACCTAGATAATGATGCTTTGGCAAAGGATCTTTCATGCAATTGCTTTATAGTCATATTTATATAGAGTACAATGAATTATCTATGAGGTGGCACAGGGGTGCACTCACCTAAAAATGCTGCATCCAGATTCCTTCAGATAAGACTCAAAATCATTCCTACAGTGTGAGAGAGCAGCAGAATTTTAACCTCCATGCCTGATCCCTGGATCCACACTGGAGGAGGAATAGTATTACTGTTCCCTTCTCAGACACTGAAAAGACTCGTGACAGCACAGTCTGTTTGCAATTCACACATCAGGTGCTGAGCTAGACTGGCCAGATTTGTTACACAGGCAAGATCAGGGCAAACTTGCCTTAGAGATGTGTTCAAACAAGGCACTGAAGTGTTCTGCCATTTTTGGAGGGGAGGGAAAACTGTATCAATTTCTAACAAGCCACTTGATATCCTGTATTTTCTGTCTAGATGGAGGAGTTTCTGGAGCTGGGCCATGACATATCTGATGCTACTCTGGATGACATCATTAACTCCCAACAGCCTAATCAGTGCTGTGTACTCATATACACCTCTGGGACAACTGGGAAGCCCAAAGGAGCCATGCTGAGCCACGACAATGTAGGTACTTCAGGCTCTCTCTTTGGCAGAGAAATAGCAAAGCAGGAGGAAATTTATCCCTGTGGGTTTGAAATGACTGGATTTACCAGAGCCCTGAAAACCCTTTTGCTTTTACAACATGGTAAAGCAATTCTTGAAGTGTTTCTGGTAAGGTATGAACAAGGTGAAGAATGGAACTCCATTCAAACCAGCACTTCACAAGCACAAACAGTTCTTTATGAAGATGACATTTTTATGCACTGGATTTCTGGTGAGATCTAATGCATATATTCATAAATAAAATTCACAGATCGACACACAAAGTCTCTCAGGGGATGTAAAACAAATCACAGGCGTCAGCCAGCTGCTCTCAAAACAGCCTGATGGAATCTGCTTTTGCAGATTTCATTGAAACTGGGGGTGGATGTGTGTTGTCTGTGCTTTGGCATTTTGTGTTCCTGGATTTGTGGGCAGATTCCTGCACCTGTCACTGGGGGATAACACAGCTCTGGTGCACGGTGCTGGTTCTACAACAGCCCTACCTGCATTCTTGCAGACAGGAAATGTCCACTTACAGAGAAAAGCAAGTTGTTTGCAAAATGGATGCTAGCAAAGGTTTGAAGTGCAGTTGTTTTGTGAGTTTATATATTTAATTTTTCATAAGGTGGGTGAGTGGGAATGGAAGGTGGAAGCAGAATCTGTGAAAGGGCTGGTCTAAGTTGTGGCCTCTCCCCTTAAAATAAAGCAGAAATTCTTGCAGACATGCACACTGTGAACAGCAATTCACCCAAATGCAGGGAATTACTACAGTAGTATCTGGAAGCAGAACACTGTGGACTTGGTAGACAAAAAAGACTGCTGTGACGTGTCAAATCCGTGCTCTTCTATCTCAAAGCAGTCTGGTGTCATTTCCACGCCAGCTGCCAAACTATTCTTGGCTGCTGATCACAAACAGGCTATTTTTATGTTGACAAACACTGGAAGGCATGCCCTGCCTGGAGCTGGGCTGCTGCCTTCTTTAGGCAAAGATGTTTGCCACTGTCCCTGTGGCAAAACCCCCGGGGAGGTTTGGAGGGCAAGCAGCGAATGGACACATCTGAAAGACATCCCATTCTTCCTGCTGTGTGAGTGTCCCTCACTGGCAGCTTCTCCAGTGCTGCCTCTACACCTGGAGTGGCCTGGCCTGGCATTAAACCCCTCTCCTGAGAATCCTCTGTTTCCTCAGGCCAAGTGTACACTTGTACCTTCTAATTTATTGCAGAGGAGGTGGCAGGGACACACTCTGATAACAGGTGTCACCTGGGATTTGTGTCTCTGCTCTGCCACCTTGAATAACCTCATTCCTCTGCCCTGCACTACCCACTTTAGATTGCAGACTCCTCAGGGAAAGAGCTGGGTTTTTTTCTTGGGTGGGGTTTTCTGGGTTTTTGTTTGGGTTTTTTTGAGAGGTGTTTGGTTTGGATTTTTATTTGGTTGGGTTTTTGTGCATGTTCATCTTTTCCCTGGCCTCTCATACCATCACTTATATTTGTGGGTCTTCCATATGCTGTGTTCTGATGATGAAGATTGCATATTTAGCATCCTTGAGCTGCATCTTCTGACATAAAGTGGGAAGTGAGAAGAAGTGGGGGGAAACATCATCCAGCTCCACTAAGAGATCAAGCAGCACATCCTCAAAAATATCAATGTATGTGCTGCCTCTCAGAAGAGGTGGGGTGTGAATGGATGTGCCACTTGGGAACCCCTGTGGAGAATATCCCAGGGAGCTTCCAGAGGAGCAGAGCCAGCTGCTGTCACCCTCCTCAGTGCTTGGCCAGGAGGGTCAATACAGGACAACGAGCTCGTTGCTGATGATGAATTGTCCTTTGAGCTCACTGATCACTGAGTATTTATTGTTGTTTTTCAGGTAAACTGTAGATACAGCACTGGTGCAAAGTGCCAGTTTAACAGAAAGTCTGCACAGCAGGAGAGTTGCAAAGGAAGGGGCCGATCCCTTTATCCTTGTCCATCCAGCCCGTGCTGCCTGCTCAGTGTGTCACTGGGGCATGGGGGGTTGGTGTTCATAGCCCAGGCAGGCAGCAGGAACTCTGTGCACTTGTGCAATCTGCACTTCTGTGTCGCTGGGAAGGTCAGCTGAGTGTCCCCAGGGACTGACAGCCACTATTGCAATGCCTGCAGCAGTTTCTGTGAGCACAGATTATTCACAGCTCCATTAGTGTGGCGTGAGGGGCCCTTAGTTGGTGTTCAAAGGAGAAAACAAATAAAACCCCCAATCCAACCCCCCAGCACCTAATGTGTCTTATTATTCATTCCAACAGATCACTTGGACATCAGCACACTGCAGCAGAGCAGGAGATATGCAACCTGCAGAGGTGCAGCAGGAGTCCATCGTCAGTTATCTCCCGCTCAGCCACATCGCTGCCCAGATCTATGACCTGTGGACTGGCATCAAGTGGGGAGAGCAGGTCTACTTTGCTGAGCCAGATGCTCTGAAGGTATCCTGCCTTGCATTGCACCTAATTAAGATTGCCCTTCTTTCTGTTGGAAAGCATCCTGGGGAGAGAATATGATCCTTGAGGAGTGGTAAAGGGTGAAGATTGAGCGTCTGTTATTGTGAGGATGATGAAGTCCATAGGTTTGATCCAGTCTCTAGGTTCCAATTCAAATATGTAAGCCAGATCCATAAGGCTCTTTCAAGGCAAAGGAGTAGGCATCTAAAGCAAAAGAAGTCTGAGGAATTTTGGAGGCAGGAGGAACTTCACCCACCTGTGTGTTTTCCTTCCTGTGTAGGAACCTCCCCTGACTCGTGTCAGTGCATGTGCCTGACTGAAGGAGGTTCAGCAGTCCTTCTTTATATCCTGCATATTTCTGATATTCTACAATCCCTAAAGATGCAGGTTCTGCATCACCAAACCTCTTTAGCTCTGCTTTTTGCAAAGTTTTGAAGCTATTTCATGATTGTGACAGGGCAGCTTGATCAACACCCTGAGAGAAGTGCAGCCAACGTCTCACATGGGAGTGCCCCGAGTCTGGGAGAAAATCATGGAGAGATTAAAGGATGCTGCTGCTCAGTCAGGATTTGTGAAGAAGAAAATGCTGTCCTGGGCTATGTCCCTTAGCTTAGAGAGGAACCTGAATGGCTCAAGCAGGTGGGTATTGCAGAGGGTGAGACTTCCAGCAACCTGAAATCTGCAATCTGCTTGGGATGAACTGTCAAGCCTCAGTGAGACTCTAAACAGGTAAAATTTGGCCTGGCAACGCAGCAAACATGATGCAAGAGGGAGGGGGTATTTATCACTTACTGTAGCTGATCTTGAACACAGGTGAGTGTCACAAGTGTCTCTCCCTCCTGTCTGACAACTCCCCCTCCCTGACACAGCCCCTGGCTGTGCTGGGACTGAGCAGGTTGGTGTCAGCTGGGACAGTTCCTGGTGTTCTGAAGAGCATTGGTGTTTTTCCCCATGAGATTGCCCACATAAATAATGTTGTATAAATTCAAATACTAATTTAATTCACTCTTCTTTCCTTTCCCAAAGTTCTTTAAAGCATGACAGTGCAATGAAGGGTGAAACTGCTTATGGAAAATGGTATTCCAAAAGATCATTCCATGCTTGTGCTTTCCTTGTCTGATCATTCCAGTTCTCAGAGAGGTCCTGCAAGTGTCAGATTTTAGTGGTGTAGGTTCTCAGAGACACACTTAAGTGATGAAGAACCATGAATACAAGAGCTGTGTTGTGTACAATGTGTTCTTAGAGATTCTTTATGTATTTGCTGTGTTCAGATACCTCAAGAGTTGGGGGTGTGAAAGTTGGAGCAATGAAAGACACCGAACAAATGAAAAAAAGGATGAAAATGTCACGTAACTTGTGTCAGCACCCAAAACCAAATGATAGATACACCTCTAAATGAAACTTGTGCCTGATTTTGTTCTGAAAACTTCCTGGGTTGCTCTGACTTGTGTGTTTTGTGCTCAGCAGTGACCTCAAGCAGCTCTGGGCGAGGCTGGCAGACTACCTGGTGCTGGCAAAAATCCGCAGTGCCCTGGGTTTCTCCTGCTGCCAGAAGCACTTCTGTGGTGCTGCTCCTCTCACCACAGAGACACTGCACTTCTTCCTGGGCCTCAACATCACCCTGTACGAGGCCTATGGCATGAGTGAGACCACAGGCCCACACTGCCTGTCTGGGCCTCACATTTACAGGCAGCACAGGTAATTTTACCTTTTTTATTATTGTTATTATTATTATTATTTTAATATGGCCTGTTTCACTGTATCTGTGAAAAGAGCATTTCCTAAGGCCAGCAAAGGTCTTATGGCTTATTTTCTTTCTTTCTGAGTGCACTGTCACCCTGCTGTGCCTTTGGGAGTTACAATAACGTGCAGGTCAGAAGCTGAGCACGTTGCCAGGCCAGGAGCACTGACAGTGAGCTACAGCATAACATGCAGAACAGTTCCTAAACCTGGCTTACATTGTAGCCCTGGACCAGGGCAGGATAACTTTCAGATGCAAGATCTCAAATACAAAAGTGGTTTTATGCCTGAAGATACAGAAGGGAAAAACCAGCAAGCCCAAGCAAGGCAGACTGTCAAAAAGTGCTTAGATACTCCCAGTGAATGAATATTCCACGGCTGTCAAACAGTGTCAGCAGGTGTTGTTTGCAGTGTTTTGGTACTTTCAGGGCTTTGGCATGTTAGCCATCCTGTCAGTGTTGTGTTTGATGTGTCTGGGGTTTCTCTGCTCCTCTCTGATAGCTGTGGCAAACCAGCACCTGGATGCAGAGTGAGACTGGTGGACAAGGATCCAGAAGGAAACGGAGAAATCTGCTTCTGGGGAAGGACTGTGTTCATGGGTTATTTAAATATGGAAGACAGAACAAAAGAAGCCTTTGATGAGGAGGGTTGGCTGCATTCTGGAGATTTAGGAAAGCTGGACAAGGATGGCTTTCTTTATGTCACGGGAAGAATTAAAGGTAATGGGCCAAGTCCTGCTCGCTGTTGTGGTGCCTGCTCAGCACTGCTCAGTCTGATGGCAGGTGAGGTCACTAATGAAGTGTTTTCCTCTCCTGTCAGCAGCATTGCCCTCACAGGAAGGTAAAATAAACTTCCCCCTGAGTGTGCTGTGTGTTCAGGGGAAGTTTCCCTCCCATCTGTAATAGGTGGAGATGATGCAGTTCCTACAGTGAGGCTTTTTATCTCCCAGACCTTTACTCAGTATAAATTACAATTACCAATATAAACTACCAGCGTGGTGTCCTCTTTGATTTGAATGATTCATGAAGCTGCCCAGGCTCCCTTTGAATGTTGCTAAATTGTCCTAATTGCACATTAGAATGTTTAGCCAGCAAGGAGAGGACACCTGTGTTGTCTGGAAGCTGTAGCTGTAGGTCAGGGGTAGGTTCCTCTGATGCCCCAGGTGATGTATTTGCAGAGAGCTGAAGGGAAAGTTCAAACTAAAGCAGTGAACTGAGGTGTCATTGCAGTACAATGATAGAAGTGTCAATGGAGTCAGACTGGTCACTTGGTTTGCTTGGGAGCTTTTTTCCCCAAAACACACTCAAGGAGTGGGATTGGTCACGGGCAAGATGAGACTGAAGAAGATTTTAGAACTGAGTATCATCCCAGAACACACAGTGAGTCACGAGGGAGATAATGTGGATGGGTGAATGTGTCACAGGTGGCATCATGTCCTGCTAGGAATCAGGACTTAGGTTGGTGCTATTAGTAGCCTGCACCAAATACAGATATCTTGGTTTTAACTTGCTTTCTTGTCTGATTCATTTTCCTTTAGTGTAGCAGTTGACAACCCCTCGTCTCAATCCATCTGAACATTTGTGTTTCTCTTACATCTGCCTTGCTTGCTGAACTAAAAGCAATTACTCTAAATGACAGGATGGGTAAACCATCTGGGATAACATAACCATATGCCCAGTTTCATTAAAGTTTTAAATTCAAGTCCAAATGAGGTAAAATCTAATAGAAAAATGTAATGAAAGCAAAGAGTTGGGATTTACTCAGAGAATAGTCACATTTGTAATAATTTCACTGAATATACACATCCTGCTTCAGAACAAAGGTATTCAAATAAAAATACACATTATCAACAGAACGAGGTATCACTACCATTGTTTACAAACCAGATTCCAGTCTGTCACTGCATTCCCCTCGTGTCAAAAGGAGGTCAGGAATCACTCCTTCCTCTCCAAATCTCCTCTCCTGGCTTCTCCCCCACACTCCTCTCTCCTTCTGCTTTTACTGGTGCCTTCCTGCAGTAGTAACTTATTTTTGTCTGACCCCTCTTGGTGAGTTTAAGAATTGGTTTTAATCATGATGTTAACAATGAATTTGCAATCATGATGTTAACAATGAATGTTGAGGTGGCAACAATAAAACAGAAGGGGAATCCTGTGCTAATCTGGGAGAGATGACGTCTCACAGGAAAATTCCAGGTTATGTTATAATGCCTTGGGAATAACCTGTGAAACATTATCTGGAATATGTGAACCATTATCTGGACCAAATATGTTATCCTGAGGGAGATCTGAGAACTTGAGCATGTTTGGAAAATAGTAGCATTTTTGGTTTGAAAGTAATTAGTAGGATTTGTTGTCTTTGAAAAACATCTGGGGAAAAAAATCTCAGTTATTTTTTTATGTCAGAATATGGAAAGCAGGTCAATCCAGACACTAGCCTGGAATTTATTTGGGTTCAACTAATAGCCTTTCTTTTTTATTTTTTTTTTGCCTAGATTTGATTATTACAGCTGGAGGTGAAAATGTGCCTCCCATCCCAATTGAAGATGCTGTTAAAAAAGAGCTCCCCATTGTTAGCAATGCTATGGTGATTGGGGATAAAAAGAAGTTTTTGTCGATGTTCCTGACCCTAAAGGTAAACCAGCTTTAATATTTTAATATTGCTTGTGGTGACATTACACCCCTGCACCTAAAGGAAGAATAATTTTGAACCCTTTGTAAAGAGACCTAAAATTACATAGGAGAGGTTGGCAGGGAGGAAAATGTACAGCAGGTACAAACTAAATCCTGCTGAGTCCAAACTTCTCATGATCTGCTGAACATCTGCATATTCACTGCTGTTTCTCCTGTGTGTATAATAAGAGCTATTTTCTATTTAAATGCAAGCTTTTTAATTAGGAAATGCTGAAAGATTAAGAAGTCTCTGTACAATAATAGGTTTTATTCTGACAGATAAGCAAAGCCAACCAACGTTTCTGTTGCAGGCAAACCCAGAAATTTCCCAACAGAAGCGTTTCTCTACAACTTATTATTTTTATAACACGAGAAGGGTGACTGTAGAACAAAATAATTAATGGCCTTGCTGTGGTACACAATTCTCTTCAGTTGGGAAATCACTGTTTTCCTAAAACATTTGCCCTTGGTGTTCTGTGTACATACTGAGTGCACTTACTGAGTTTTTTTCAAGCTGTTTTTTACCTCTGTGACTGACACTCCCTATCTCCAGGCACAATAGAAATGCTAATTTGAGAAGTCTAACTCAAAAGAATGCTTCCATCTCAAGCTGTTTACATTACACCACAGTCATTCCATTTGGCGATGAGCTAAACGTTTCCCTGCACCAACGGAGTCATTTGGAAAATATGGCAGAAATTCCCGCTCTGCAGATGGACTCTGGCCTGATTCATTCACACATTTCAAGTCTGTTCATGTCCATAGAAGCCAAAAACATTTGCATTTGGTGGCCAAGTGGAAAGAAAAGCGCTGCCATCTGTAGGTGTTCCTGCTTTTTAAGGCTTGCAGAGTGTTTGTGTTTGTGCTGAGCCCTCTCAGCCGGGGAGGACCCGATCAGGGCACCTTTAAGAGGCAGCATTTGGTGATTCACTTCATTTGGTCTTTCAGAGTGAGCTGGACCCGGACACATCTGAGCCCACTGACATCCTCACTGAGCAAGCCAGAGACTTCTGCCAGAGGAGTGGCAGTAAAGCCACCAAGGTGTCTGAGATTGTAGCCACCAGAGACCGGGCCATCTACGGGGCCATCCAGGAGGGAATCGACAGAGTCAACAGGAACGCCACCAACAGGGTCCACTGCATTCAGAAATGGACAGTGCTGCCCAGGGACTTCTCCATTTCTGGGGGAGAGCTAGGTAAGATTTACTTGCTTTATACTGAGGGACAGTTTTGCCTGCCAGGCTCTGGGTGCAGGGAAAAAACCTTCTGCAGTCTGTGGTAAAGAGTACAAAACTGGGAGTTTTAGCTGTGTGCACATTTGCAAGTACAGCTCTTGTAGTTACATTTCAGATTGCTTTGGGTAATTAAGGAATCAATTTTGGTCAATTCCTTGGGCAGTATTAATAAGTTCCAGTAATAATACTGAAAGTTTCTCATTTAAAAAAAAAAGGAGAAGCAAGACAGTGAAAACCTCATAATAGAGCCTGAAGCACATCACCAGGCTCTTTGAATGAACTGGGAATTGCTTAAAAGCTTTCAAAAACATCACTATTTTTACTGAAAAAAAGTAGTGGTCAGTTATCTGCAGCTCCCTTTGAGGTTCCCATGCTTGTGTGGAGGCAGCTTTACATACCACGCTGGCTTCTCCCTTTCAGCATTTACCTACACTCAAACTGGGGCATGTGCTTCCCAACAGGCTCTCCAATAAAAACCTTGGGCCCCAAAGCTCCAAGAGGGTGGGAATTTCTGTTCCCATTTCCAGGACTGTGACTCTCTCCCTCTTTTAAGGTCCAACAATGAAGCTGAAACGGCTCTCAGTGCTCGAGAAATACAGGAATGAAGTCGACTCCTTCTATGAAGAGTAGGAAGTCTTTCATCCAAGCATTAAGAGAGATCTGTGAGCAAAAGAAAGTTATTTTCTAATCAAAAGCATTAATGAAGAGTTATGCCTTTTGGGGGTCTGTAGTCTATTGAACCAAACCACTAGAAAGCTGCTGTGTCAGTGTAGTTGTTCCTGATACTCACCTGATCATTTGTCCTCTTTTCACAGAAGCATCTGCAGTGTGTCCATTTTCTAATACTGTTTTTACTTTATGACCTAAATGATTAAAACATCCTTCTGTGTTGTATAAGCTGAGGATAATTAATTCCTCTAGACTGAAAAACAACCATTTTTTTTATATTAGTGATCTTCCATTTTCCTTTTTCCCTGTTGTCCCCGAGGCCATTGCCCGTAGCTCAGGATACATTTTGGTAGCTGGCAGTACTGCTTAATAAAACTGCCAGACCACTCCAGTGAGAATTATTTAAACAAAAAAATAACAACAATCAAAAGGGCTGAATTTTTTTTCTCCTCCTACACAGGAGTTTGTTGTTGTTCACTAACAAAGACATTTCAGAACCTAAAGGCTTCTCTTCCATTTCTGTGAAAACAGCAGCTCATTTCTAAGTCCACGTTGGAATAAGCAGGACTATTTCTCCTAAAAACAGGTAATCAAAAAAGCTGGGGGAATAGCTCCCCAAGCAGTAAATACAGGAGCTCTCCCACAGGAGTGCTGTTTAGAACAGAAGCTCCTTTAAGATTGTTTACAGTGCTTTCCTTTATTGTTGGCGTGGATCTGCACGTGCCAATACTCACATTGTGCCAATTCTGGAGCTGCATTTCTCCTTAGCCCTATGAAAAATAAACCATGTAAGGATAAAGGAAAATAAAAATATGAAAAATAAACCACGTGCAGGGCATGCTGTGTCAGGGGGTGCTGGGAGTGATCCCTGGCAGGAAGCTCCAGCCCCTGCTCCCGAGAGGAAAACGTCATGTGGAACAGGAAACCATATCCATGGAATTTCCATTCCTAGTCTCATCTTGCAGGCTTAGGATTTGCTGCAAGTGTCACTAATCAGCTCAACACACAAGACAAGGTAGCAGCCTAGGATTATAAAAACCAGAACAAGCAAGAGGACTTTGAAAAGTTTATTCTTCCCCGTTTTGTGCGCAACGGTCATTCAGAGGTTCTTTAACAATATTAATCCGAAGGAAAACAAGGAAGCAGCAGCTTGGAAAACACGGAAAGAAACGTTGCCCTATTTATTCACCAAAAGCTCCTCCAACAGGCTGTTAGACTGTCTAAAAAAAGCTGGGCTGCTCACTCTGTAGAGCCACACCAGAAGTCGTTGAATCAGAAACGATGTCACCTCTGAAGCAACCAGCCTAAAACAGTCTAAATAGATGTTACTCCACTTGGTGACTTTCCATGAATAGAATTAAGCTGTAAGAAGCCTGGTTCTGGCAGTAGGGATAATCCTGTGCTGTACTAACGAGTTTTAAAATACACATTTCCTCGCTGGGGGCACCGATGGAAGATACCTTTGGACACACAGGTCAGCATGACTCGTATGACCATCTGCATGGTCATACAGGTGATGGAGGAGGGAGGGAAAAGAGTTGCTTTTGCACCCATTGAGCTTGGTAAGCAAGGGAAAAAAATAAGTCTTGGATCCCCTTGAATAGGGATGAAATGTATTTCTGGAACATAGGCACCAGAGCCAAACAGCTGATCTGCCTTAATCCCTTTAGGATTAGTCCCTTACATTCAGGTGTGAATAAAATTCCCAGTCAATACAGTAGGACACACTGAACAGACTAAGCTACAACACAACGAGCATTCTAGCACAAGTCATGAGATATCTAGGAGTAATCTGCCATGTTAATACTTTCCCTTCACAATATATGGCAGAGGTAATTTTATACAATTTACCCTCATTATAACTCTGTTGGAAAGGGTATTTCAGAGAGGGAAAACTCGTAAGAATTATTGTGCTCTCTCGATTTGAAAAATAACTTTGCTCCAGCATTAATTCTCACCCTTTGCTAGGAAATGGTTGTGGGCTTTTGTAAAGTACACAAGTAGATTAAATCTCTAGAATTTAGTACTTCTTTATTCATGCCTTTGGTGGGTATTTCATCACCAGACTATCTAATGTGGTTTTCTCCTTGCTTTTGACATGAAATTGCTATTTTTAAGTTATTTTATACCCGTTTCTGTTGATGAAGGTCACCTTGTGCTACTGTTAGGCTGAAAACCTTTTCAACTTCAGCAAGACCAATAAAGCAGGTTTTAACCATTAAGGTGCTTTTACATTTCACTAATTCCATTACTGCTTTATATTTGCATAATTTTTCTTTGTGGAAAGTAAAACCCTCTAACTGAAATGGAAAATGGTAGACAGTTACAGTGCCAAGAAAAGAATTCACTTACATAAAAATGTTCACCAGATAGAAAAAAAAAAAAAAAATAAATAAGACAAAGCACTTGGAAAAGTCCACTGAAAGCAGGCACAAGCATCATTTGTAGCCATTTGGACTAAATTTATTAATGGAGAGGCCTTAACTAAAAAGTTTGCTCTCAGGAGATCAGCAAACTCTCTGCATGTGGATGTCGGGTTCGTGCCCTCCGAGGGGAGCTCAGTCCTTGTCCCGCACCCGGCGGCAGATCTCGTCCGTGAACTCCGAGCACTTGGCATTGCCCCCCAGGTCCTTGGTCAGGATCTGAAAGGAAGGAAAAACGGCATCACTGGAATGTTTCAGGGGGATAGTCCTGTCCCTGAATGTGTTCTGGACAGTGAGCAGGGGGCAGGAGTTGTGCAGCCCACGCAGAGTTCATCCCTAAGGATGGCACGGGAACAGAAACTGGGGATCAGCATAAAGCACTTTATTTTATCCAATTTGAACATGATTTTATCTTAACTGCAGGAAGAAAGTGTGTTTGGTCAAAGCTCTATAACGTCCCTTGCCTCCCTAATAGTGTAATTCATTGTTAAATATTTAAGCTTTCAGTAAGAAGTTTAGAAGTAAAATTCCTATATGAAGGCACAGCACTAATTAAGAGTAATTCATAAGGGTCTTTTTTGTTTGTTTGCTTTGTTTTGTTTGTTTGTTTGAAGGAAACCCACCCAGAAAAAGCACACATAACTTATTGCTATGTTAATGATTCTTCAAGTTTGCTTGGTTTAGTTTAGACATGGAAAATGTAGAATTTAAACATCTTTGTCATCAAGTACAACTCCTGTGTGGGAGCATTAAGAGAGTGAAATAAATGTGGGCAACACTGCTGGTCTAACCTAGCTAGATTAAAGCAGGCTGGGAGATAATTTACAATCATTAATTCCCCCCTTACATGACACACACATCTCTTAATTAAATGATTGAAATGATTACAGGAGCACCTCTTTATTCACTTGTAAGTTTAGGTGGGTTTTTTAACACAGGAAGGTAGCTGCAAACAGACCACTTGCAAAGGGATGACAACTTTTGGTTTCAGCTTCCTTGTTATTGTAATTACCAAGCAGCTTCTTGTGGTCCTGCTAAGGTAACTGAACCAGCAGGGCTAACTGCTCATCCTCCTTAACTGCCATCTCCAGATCTTTCCAACTATGTTTTGAAAAGATGCCATCAAAGCAGAGGAGTGAACCAATAATGGTAAGAACACAAATTCAACTCAAATTTCAGAGTATAAGTCCTTCCTCACCCCCCAAATACCCTGAGTCTTAAATCTGGAGCCACTTCCTGCCAAAGGGAAGTCCTATAAAATCTTGAGGGAAAAGGTAAATATTGGATAAAAACTGTTCTTTTGTAGTTCAAAAAGGAGTGAAAGCAGTAAGGAAGAAAAAAAAAGAAAATAACTGAGCTGAAAAAAATAGGAACAAAAGTATCACAGTCAGGACTGGAATGCTATAAACTAAGTGGATGATTAAGGCCTGTGAAAGGCAAGTGAGTGTCCAGATTTAAATACATAAACATTGCCTGTTTTATAAATGTCCTAAGTGAAATGCTACTGGTTACTTAAACCTCTAATCCCTTTCCTGCAAAACACATCTCCAGTTCAAGCTTTTCGAGTTCACAAAGCTGCAGAAATGTGAGATGAGCATTACTGAGACACCAGGAATGCTACAGCCTGTCCCTCATTACTGAGAAGGGCAGGCTTAATACCACCAGAGATAATATAATCACTGTCAGAGAAGGACAGTGGCATAAGAAAATACCACCAAAGACAATATAATCACTGTCAGAGAAGGACAGTGGCACTACTCGTGCAACTCTCCAGCACAGCAGGTCAGCCACCCTTCAGGTGTGCACGTTCTGAGTTCATTTGTGCTGTGGCAGAATCTGATTTTAATTCACTGCATTTATCTGCACCCCCTCCTATTACCTTTCCATCCTTAATGGTGTCAAAGCAAGCTGACTCTATTTTTGTGGCGTGTTTGTGCAGTCCCATGTGACGCAGCATCATCACAGCGCTCAGCAGGAGGGCAGTTGGATTTGCCATGTCTTTGCCTGCAATGTCTGGTGCTGTTCCATGAACCTAGACATAAAAGCAAACCCATCAGTTATGATGTCAATAGGGCTGATTAAAATGTCCTAGGCAGTCCAAGTGTGTGCAAGAAAGCTGACCCAGAAATCCTCGTGGTATTAAAACAGGAGTTACTTTGCAGCGATGCAGTCAGTGGAAAGGAGATAACAAAGGCCAAAACAATTTAGTTCAAAAGCATCAGAAAGGCAGAACTGGGTCACAAATACCTCTGAATTGTGTCCCTTTAAGTTCTGTTTGATAGAGGGTATTTATCTTATGAAAAAGAGGGAAAATAAAGTGTTGGTCAAGAAAAAGGACATGCAAAAAACTTACAAGTGATACACACTTCACCCAGGCTCTCTGGGCAAAGCCTCACCAGCTCCACAGTAAAAACCAGCTTTATGCAGAACTTTGTTAAGTGCCAGTCATGTTGTACAGCATGGAAAGGTTTTAGATTCCCAAGGAGAGACCAAGCAGTTACTGCTGCTCCCCCTTGGAGAACAAAACTCACCGACTCAAAAATGGCCACTCCGTTGGCTCCGATGTTCCCGCTGGGTGTTACTCCCAGGCCCCCGATCAGGCCAGCACACAAGTCACTGAAAGAAACCCCACCCATCAAATGAAAAGAACACAACTTTCTCCATATACCTCTCTGCAAGGTATTAAAATATTTATCTACTGCAACTGGAACTTATTTTATGCACCTACACAGTCTGAGAGTAATACTGAGAATATTACTCTGGTGAGCCCCTTGTGCTCCTAATGAACATCTGAAAATTTTTAGGACTTCCAGCAGAAGGCAATGTAACAAAGGACAATCAAAAGGAAATCCCAAATTCTAGGATGAAGCTGGTAAGACACAGGCACAACAAGAAGGACTAAAAAGCACAGAATATGTGGAGAAGTCTGAAAAACTAGCAAAAAACTGTAACTATCCAGAAATCTTATTTCCTCTGAAGGGGCCACACAACTACTTTTCATATGTGAAGTCCTTCTAAAGAAAGTTGGAAGAATTTTCCTGGGGTAGCTGAATTACCAGTAGTTTTGTAGGGTACTGTGTGTAGCTTAAGGGGCATTTTCCAAGTGACAGCTTGTAAGCCACAAGTCTGACATTAGCACGTCATCAGCCACCTGCATTTGGGTCCCTCCAAAATTAACCTGGGGAAGGACAAACCAGCTGTGCCTGTAGCCATCAGACTGTACCCTCAGAGCTGACCAGACTGACAAACAATGCTCCTAAAACTCAGGTATTTTCACAGATACACATATTGCCTCAGCTCAGCTCAGCAAGGACTGACAAGCACAAAGGTTTGACCTTACAGAACAATATTAAGTTTAATCTGAAAAATAAACCAGTTAGCTTTATAGAGTCTGGGGAAAAAAATGGATACAGTCGAATTTGTCACTGGAAGCACTAAATGCTTCAAGGAAGGAGATTTCCCTCTGTACTTGTTCAGTCCAGGAAACCTGCCTGGCATTATGCTCATGATTTAAAGGATCAGTGATCAATGTGCCCTCTGCCAGGGCAGACTCACATTTACTGCAAATCTTTAGGACTGTAATTTTTTATGGAATTTCTATGAGAATTTTAAAACAGGTGCTACTGAACTGTGTGCAGGGAGTTGCAATAGTACTGATGATGAGACTCATGTGATTTGATCTCTTTTAGTCAACAGCCAAGAGCAGTTGTGAGGGCCCTGGGCACTCCTTACCAATTCTCAAAGCAAGAAGCATTAGCTGGAAGCTGATTTTTTCCTAGAGTGGACAGACAACCTTATCAGAGAGAGGGCAATTTTAAAAGAGCTCCAGAAGCATTTCTTCTTCTCTGTAAGTTACCCCTACATTTATTATCTATACACAAACAGGAGATGGGTTCCAAGATGTAAATAGTCACTGAACTTGTAAACAAATCCTGATTCAGGCTGTTTTCTCAGTGTCTCCTTAGAGGTGCAAGGAGATGCCGTGTTTTGTTACACACTTACAAATTCAGATTAGACACTTCATTTGACACACAGTATTGGATGGAATTTACACTCCTACCTGAACATTTTACAGAATGGAAAATGAAAATGTCTGCTGGTGGATTTTGCCTTCAAGAGACCAAGCTCCTCCAGCATTCACGTTATTCAAATATGAAATTTAATTTGGAGGTAAGGAAAAACCACAATACATAAAAGAAGAGCTGGTAGGATATTAAGAGACCACACATTTGGTTCTTCAGTGACTCTGTAGAATCATTTACCTGTAGCTCTCTGTACACATCACGATCCCACAGTCACCCTACAAAATCTATTTTCCCTAATCTCTAACCAAACATTCTTGATTGCAATGTAAGCCATTAAATTCTCCACACCTTTGGAGAAATTTCTCTACTGCCCCATCTGAACAATATTCACAGACTCCATAAGCAGCAACTCTCTTTTAAATAAATAGCACATTCTCATCCTATAGCCCCACCCAACAATATATTAATAACTGAAGGGTAATAATACCATCCTTTCTTCCCATTTCAAGTCTGGTTTATGAAGTTTTAGACTCTGGATGCACAGATCACCCATCTGGCTTGCACATAACCTCAGTGACTGCTGGGAAAGTATCAATATTTTACGTGTTGGGTTAGTTCAAATTAGGATCTCCATACCTGAGGATGTCACCGTACAAGTTTGGCATAACAAGCACATCAAATTGTGATGGATCTTGAACCATCTAGAAGGAAGGATATTGTCATTAAGGGTAAGAATTTAAACAAACAAACAAAAATAACCCCAAAACACCGACCAAAATTAAAATATGTAAATACTCACATTCAGACACACAGTATCCAGATACATTTCATTAAATTTAATATCTTTACAGTTTTCTGCTGCCTCCCTGCATTTTCTCAAGAAAAGCCCATCAGACATTCTCCTGCAATTAGATAAGCAGGAGAACATTGCAGTTATTGTAAGCAAGCAGTACTCAAGGTAAAGAAAACTGCATAAATATACATAATATTGTAAATATATTCCAGAGAAGTTATGCCCTTTAAATTTCCTCCTAAAACATTTTTGTGCCAATAGTTTAACAGCCATACACATTCATTGTCAGAAAGCCTTCTATTCCTTTACTGAAGGCTCAGTGGATTTGTAAAGGTGGTGTCTAATATCACAGGTATTATGACTAAGTTCAGTGGGAAGTGGCTTGGAAACTGTAAAAGACACTAGCAGCCACTTTCATCCTCAGTTTTTAAATTAATTCTCCATGTTTAAAAAGAGCTTTGCATGAAAGGATTCCTAAAAACTTGCTAATAAGTACATCAGTACACCATTACTGCACCCTATCAACACTGGGTCAGTACTGCCCATTTCACTTAGGAGGCATTTACTTCACTTGCTTCCCATTTTACTTCCTCCCAGTGGCATCAATGGAAGTCCCACATTTGAGCAAGACTTAATGCACATTGTTATTTAGTTCTGCTCAAAGAGCACTGAGGACATACATGATATTTGCCTTGTGCACGGCAGTGACGTGGCTCCTCTGATTGTTCCTGGCGTACTCGAAAGCAAACTCCGCAATCCTCTTGCTGGCTCCCTCTGTGATCAGCTTGATGCTCTGCACGACCCCATCGACAATCTGTGAGACAGATTACGTGGGTATGAACGTGTAAGATCATTCTTCGAGTCAATGGTATGAGGGGGAGTAGAGTTTTAACGGGGCAGCGTGCTGAGGGGGCAGCGTTCTGAGGGGGCAGAGTGCTGAGGGGGCAGAGAGCTGAGGGGGCAGCGTTCTGAGGGGGCAGCGTTCTGAGGGGGCAGCGTTCTGAGGGGGCAGAGGGCTGAGGGAACAGAGCGCTGAGGGAACAGAGGGCTGAGGGAACAGAGGGCTGAGGGAACAGAGGGCTGAGGGAACAGAGGGCTGAGGGAACAGAGGGCTGAGGAACAGAGGGCTGAGGAACAGAGGGCTGAGGGACAGAGGCTGAGGGAACAGAGGGCTGAGGGAACAGAGGGCTGAGGGAACAGAGGGCTGAGGGAACAGAGGGCTGAGGGAACAGAGGGCTGAGGGAACAGAGGGCTGAGGGAACAGAGGGCTGAGGGAACAGAGGGCTGAGGGGGCAGAGCGCTGAGGGGGCAGAGCGCTGAGGGAACAGAGCGCTGAGGGGGCAGAGTGCTGAGGGAGTAGAATGCTGAGGGGGCAGAGTGCTGAGGGGGCAGAGCGCTGAGGGGGCAGCGTTCTGAGGGGGCAGCGTTCTGAGGGGGCAGAGTGCTGAGGGGACAGCGTGCTGAAGGAGTAGAGTTCTGAGGGAGGTAGTCCCAACACTGCATTTCACAGGGAAAGTGCCAAACAAAAAACACCCTGAGCGCCTCTGGGGTGGACCAAGTTCCCCTCCCTGGCACAGGCAGGCCCGGGAAGGCAGCCCTGGCAGCACGTACCACGTGCTCGATGCCGCTGTACTCGCCCTCCGTGTTCTCGCGGATGGTGACGATGTTGACATCCGTGTAGGGGGTTTTGTAGCCCTCGATGGACACGCAGGGCCGCACGTTGGCGTAGAGGTCGAAGGTTCTGCGCAGCAGCAGGTTCATGGAGGGGTGCCCTGCAGCAATGGGGGTCTTCAAAGGCCCTGGATGAAAAAATACATGCCTGGATTTGGAAGTTGAAACTCTGGGTAAAGTGAGCTCTTGGAGAGGATCTCCAAATTCCCGTTTAACCCTTCTGTGAAATGCCACGGGAACTCTCTGTGCTCTTAAGTGCTGCACAGGGACATCAATCAGCTGTTTAAAGGCCACACTGCAATCCTTACATGGAACAGGAGATTTTACAACAGGTTTTCACTGAAAACACTATATATAAAGATACTGCTCATTAGGAATGTAGTTATTGCATACTCTTGTGTATCTCAGAAACACCTTCTGCAGAGTCCAAAGGTTGGAATGCAGTAATACCCACCTTCAGCTATGAGAATATCAAAATTATGGCTTGGAAATGAAGGGCTGTTTCAGATGAAAAACTTTGGCTTTAAATCAGGCTCATGATAAAACCAACAGTATTTAATATCTGTGTATTAACCCCTAAAATACCTTTTAATCCCATTTTGTTTTTATCCATGGATTCTTTGGCATCTGGAGGTATCATCCACTTCCCTCCTGGTCCTTGGATAGCTGTAACATTCCTTTCTTCCCACTGAATAGGAGCCTAAACACATATACTCATTGTTAACCTAAATGGCATGACTTTTGCTTCAAGTTTTAACTTTCCTTTCATATAAAGGTGCATTAGGAATTTTGTCCAGGTCTTCATAAAACAATTTTTCTCTGGTGAGCGAAAGCAAGCATGAGATATTTAAACTAAAGCAGTTTTAAAAAAAAGGTAAATAAGGGAAAATGAAATGGTATGAGCAGCACATCATCATAAACTTGATTCCCACAATGCCCCCTTGGTGTCATATACACAGGAATGGTTAGAATTGCAAGACAGGTGCTATTTCTTTCAAGTTTTTAGAGCTGGTGAGTTCTTTGTATACAAGAGACAACATCTGAAAACTGAATTCATTGAGAACTCATCATCTCTCCTGCCTGGAAAACAGGACATGACACAGCTATGTATCTGCTATCTAACTGAAAAGCTGCCTGAAGAGCTCTATTTCCTTTCAAGGAAACTTGACAAATTCTGGTGAAGTTCCTCAGGTGGGCAGGACCAGAGTTCCTGGATACAGTGAGTTTTCCTATCACTTCAATTAATGTGTTTGGCAGTGCAGCAGTTTGATTCCTAAAAGTAAGCCAGTCCTTTCACACACCCTTTCACCTGCACTGGAAGTCACAGTCAATGAAAGAACATTTCTCTTGCTCTTATCAGGATTACTACATCAACCAGATGATACACTGAGTTCATATTCCCCAAAATTAGGCACAGCATTTGCTCTCAACTCTCTGCTTTTCTGCCAGGTAACAGTTTGAAGCCCTGCCTTGATATCACATTCCTGTCTTTTATTACCTGCAGCTTCAAACTCTATTCTCAAGTAGTTTTAACAGCTTAAATATGCCTTTATCTTTGGAAGCTAAAGGGAAAACTTTTTAAACATGCCTAGTTAGTATCTGTTGTTGTAGTTAAACCTACAGTGCTTACAGCAAGACAAATTGGACTTACTTTGGCAGCATCAAAGATCTTCATGACAGCAGCAGAAATCTCAGGTCCTATGCCATCTCCTGGGATTAAAGTTACTGTTTGTACCTAGGGAAAGAAATACCAGTAGTACAACAAATGAATGTTTGTTTTCTGCACAGAAAACGTTTTCATGTGTTGTAGGAACCAAGTGACTCTGAGAAAACAGGAGAAATGTTCAGTTGCCAAATATTCACTATGAAGTGAGAATGACTCCCTTGCTTTCAGAGGGACTGTGAAAATGTTTTGAGAGAACTGTTTGAAAGTTTGCCTGCTATCTATTCCTATTTCAAAACAGAGGCTGAATGTGAAAGGCAGGTTCCTGCTCAGGACTCCTTGCAATAAATGATCTCAGCGTGGTTTCTGTGGAAGTCTGAAGAGGAGGGGGTATTCCCTGGAGATGGAATGTGCCTCCAGCATTACCAACACCCTGTGTAACACTGACACATGCTACAAAAGATTGAGGCATAGGAAAAGCTGCATTCATCTTAAAAAAAAAAAAAAAAGAAAAAAAAAAAGGGTCATGCCAATGGAAACTTCTCAAGTGACCTAAAAACCTCAGACCTGTTTTTGACAATACCAGCTTATTTTCCTCCCATGTTCTTAGTCCTGGTTCTTTCATTGCACAGCTCAGGCTCAATGAGTAACAGGGGAAGAAAGTATTCTGCTTTGATGAAAAAGAGAAGTTATGATCACTATTCTGAGGTGCAAGCCCCAGCTCTTTTTGCTTTATTTACACAGTCCCAACAGTTTTGCATGGGCTCATTATTACCTACAAAAAAGGTAGCTCAGACACAGCACTATTTGCAAAACCACAGATAGAATCAACTCACAAGATACATTTCCACCTTTCTCCACACAAAATATTCAGGATTTCAATACATGCTGGCTGATTGTTTCAACTCATTTGAGCCAGACAAATTCACTGTGCATGACAAAAAAAACCCCAGAGCTTTGTTACTACAGGACTCCACCTGAGCTAAGTGTGGTATGAACAGAGCCAGAGGTTCTGTTTCTTCTAATTCTGATTCTTTTTGTACAAAGCTTGTAATTAGAAGCCCCAGCTCCTCTTTAAAATTAAATCCTGCCTAAAGGTACTTGCAGCAGTGCTGAGCCCTGCTCCTGCCTCCACTGGGAAAAAAAAAAAGGCCCATGGGCACTTCCAACACAGACACATAAAGAAGAGAAAACAGCTGTTGGGAAATACACAATCCACGTCTAAGATACTTTAAAGAGGACCTTGAAAAGGCAGAATTTTAGATGCAAGGCGTTCTAAAAGCAGCAGTAAAGTAAATCTAGTGCTTAGAGGGGAGTCTGCAAAAGAAAGAAAATGAGAAGCTTCTCAACAATCTTTCTGGTTTGCCCAATATTTGCTCGCTCCCAGAGGAATTTCAGAAGACTGGCTTATTTGGTGAGAACTCTTCATGCCACTTGTATCTTTTGCCAGAGCCTCTTGTATTATCAGTCACACTTAATATGCAATTGCCAATGACAGTGATTGACCAGTGTAAATCCAGGATGGTATTAAGAGCACGTTATGCTCACTTGTTTGGGCCTTATTTTTTTCAGGAATATAAAAATAACACCAAAATTTCCAAACCCCTGTTATTGAGAAACTTCATGAAAGAAAAAAAAATGGGACTATTATACTCACAGCATTACCAAAACTTCTGGTCACCTTTTTTTGGTTTTTGAAAGCACCTAGCAACCGAGAAACCTGCAGAAAATAGAAAGCAAAAAGATGCTATTTTACTGCACAAACAGGACATTGAAATGCTAACAATACTGCAGCGAATCTGCACTTGAAAAACCGTATTGCTTTAAATTTCCTATCTCGAACCAGTATAAAAATCCAAGTGAAACAAGAGTAGCCAGTGCTTTGCCAAGTTGCTGCCTAACACTGCGTGCACCGAGTATTCTTAGCACAAGGTGAGCCCGGGACAGCCCGGCGTGCCTGGGGTGAGGGGAAGGCCCTGCACCATCGCTGGAGTCTGCAAGCAAACCTGCAGTGACTCTTGACTCCATATGCTAAGGACTGGGATTTGTGGAGGGCAAAGGGAAAAGGGAAACACTCGGTTGGCAGCAGTTGGGTGGAAGCATCTTCATGCGTTTGAGTGACGTTTCCAAAACTACTTTGCACCAGTGTCACTTCCTCCATTCAAAACGCGGTGAATTTTGTTCTTCCACCTCCTGCAGCTGCGTGTTTTGTACTGTTGCCTTCTGCAGGCCTGATGGGTTTTAAAAAGCATCACTGAAAGGCACGTTAAAGACAAAATTCACCATAGCAACAAGTCTGGAAAGCGTAGTCAAAGAATGGCACTTTCTAACATCTGAATATTCTGACCTGGCATTAAGCTTCAAGACTGGGATGGTATCTAAGCTCGAGCTCTTGTCTAGCTGAACATCATGGACAAAATTCCCAACCTGCAGAAAAATCACGGCCTCCCGGTCTCACCATCCTTTCTAGGACTACTGATGGCTCTGTGGCTTAAGAGCCAGAAGGCTTCTATTTGTAAACAGATGCTCCTTCAGCTCTGCCACATCACATGTGCAGGCTGTCTGCAGCTATCAGCTACAAAGGAATCTGACAATTCTCTCCTGTCCCGTTTGTATTTGTTATTTCTCACCTTTACTGACACAGCGTACAGTGAAAGGCTCAAACTACACTGGCACCAACAGAAACAACTACAAACAACACAATTCTCGAGTAAATTGTAAGGAATGCTGTGGGACAAGTAACTTAAGCTAGATCTATTTTTACTTGTAGCCCCACATGAGATGCCCAAGGTCACTGCCACGGGCAAGCAGTGCCTGCCACATGGCTGAGGAAGCAGCTGGAGCCACTAAATGAAAACGTGAAGTTCACTCCACAGCGTAAGGGTCCTCATGGTACAGTTCCCGCACCTAGAGCCGGGATTCACATTCCAAAATAGCCCTGGGAGGGAACAGCGTGTCCTTTCAGAAATCACGGGCCTGGTACGTTATACTGAAGTTCAACATTGATAAGAGTAACAAAGGGTCGGGCCGAAGGAAATCGATCGTGTCACGTGTCGCGATCAGCTCCTGACAGTTCCTCCTCATTTGAGCAGGCAGGTTAAGCGGGGCGGCCTCAATGACTTTGCCCCTCTCAGGCCGTCATTTAAAGGCTCAACAGAAACCCCACTGGCTCGAGGCACAAAGCAGCATCCCCGCGCCGGGGGCCGCGCTCAGAGCGGCCCGGAGCCGGCGAGCCCCGAGCGGAGCCGTGGGGGCGCAGAGCCCCCGGTCCGCTCCCCGCGCCGCTGTCCCCGCTGTGCCCGCAGTGCGCGGGCCGGGGGCTCCCCGCGGTTCGCAGCCCGCGCTGCCCGAGCCCCGCCGCGGGAGCGCCCCGCGCCCGTGACCTCTACGGCGCGACCTCCCCGCAGGCCGCGGAGCCGCCGCGGCGCCCCCGGCCCGCCCGGCAACGGCCCCGCGGCGCCTCCCGCCGCCCGGGCAGCGCGGACACACGCACGGAACCCCCCGCCGCGGGGCCGCCCGCCGGCACCGGCCCTTCGGCCCCGGGAGCGCCGCCAGGGCCCGGCGGCACCGCGACCTTGCGGCTCCGCCTGGGGCACCGGCCAAGGTCAGGGGCGCGCCCCGGGCAGGGCCCGGCCCGGCCCGTCCCCCGCCTACCGTGGGCATCCACGCGGCCGCGGCCATGACGCGCCCGGGCTCCGCGGCTGCCGAGGGCCCTCCGCTCCGCGCCCGCCGCCAGACCGGAACCGGCGCGCGGGGAGCGCCGGCCCCGCCCCGCCCCGCCGGGGGAGCCCCGCCCCGGGCCCGCCGCTGCCGCAGCGCCCGCGGGCACGCAGCGCTCGCGCGGGTGGGCCGTTAGTCCGGCAGCCCTCAGCTCCTGCCCGCGGTTCCTCAGTCCTCGCCCGCGGCTGATCCGCTCCTGCCCCCGGGCCCTCAGCTCCTGCCCCCGGGCCCTCAGCTCCTGCCCCCGGGCCCTCAGCTCCTGCCCCCGGGCCCTCAGCTCCTGCCCGCGGGCCCTCAGCTCCTGCCCGCGGGCCTCAGCTCCTGCCCCGGGCCTCAGCTCCTGCCCTCGGGCCCTCAGCTCCTGCCCCGGGCCCTCAGCTCCTGCCCGCGGGCCCTCAGCTCCTGCCCGCGGGCCCTCAGCTCCTGCCCGGGGCCCTCAGCTCCTGCCCGGGGCCCTCAGCTCCTGCCCCGGGCCCTCAGCTCCTGCGGCTCCTGCGGCTCCTGCCCCCGGGCCCTCAGCCCTCGCCCGATCCTCAGCTCCTGCCCCCGGCTGATCCGCTCCCGCCGCCGCTGCCCCAGGCGGTCCGAGCCTCCTCCGCCTGGCTCAGCCCCCGCTGCCGGCGGGGCGGGAGGTGCCGGGGCCGCCGGAGGCCGCGGGAGCCCCCGGGGCGGTGTCTGAGGAGGCACCGCTGCGGCATCGCCGAACAGAACCGGTTCTAGAAGTGGGTAGTTTTACTGGGAAAATAGCTGCTAGTTGTTAAGAAATATGTGTGTCGGAGTTTTGTCGCAGCAGATGAAAAAAAAACCAAACACAAAAAACAACCCAAAACAACAACAACCAAACAAACAAAAACACCAAAGAAAAACAAACCCCGGGCACTTTAAAGTATTAAAACCCAAAGTTGTTGAAGTCGGGGCAATATTTGAGGTTGGCATTTGCCTTTATTTCTGAGGTACTTGTCTGGTTCTTCGAGGTCAGTCCCAGAGGGGCTGTGGGAGCCCAGGGCAGCAGAGCCCCCTCCACAGCCCCAAATCCCCCAGACCGGGCCACAAGCGCTGCTTGTTCCTGGCTGAGGGGGTTCGGTAGCTTGGGGTGTTCCTGGGAGTAAAGCACCAAACGAGAAGGCAGTTTGAGCTCAGACCTCTGGGAATAACAGCTTTGAAAAGCTTTTCCTACCTTTCTTTCACTTCGGGAACATTAAAATGTGGGGGTTGTCTCAATTTGTACCAGTTTTTGGTAATAGTTATCAGATTAATTCCAGCCTTTCCATTTACTCAGCTCTGTCCTGGCTATGCTTAAAAGCAAAGGACTAAGACTGTACGTTCTGTTCTCTCTTGTGAGTAGGAGTTCTCAGAACTGATATTTGACAGTAGACAGAATTTGTAGCCTCCATTTTCTGGGAATTACTTGCTCTTTTTTTTTTAATTTCACGACAGGACACCAGAGGTACTCACAGCTTTCCCTCTGTCAATGTTTTGTCTTGGTTTTGATGGTGCTTTGAATTGAGAATTGTCACTCTGGGGGCCAATTTTTCACACGTATTTTCGACACCTCTCGATCTGTGTCTCCTGGGTGTTACCACAGTAAGGCTACAGTAATAAACCATTGAGAGTGTCTGGTTTGGATCTGTCCTGAGAAGAGCTGAACAACACAGTAATAAACCCATAAGGAGTTATTTTACATAGAAAAATTACACCTGTGTAGAGGTAGCAGTCCTGTCTTTCCTAGTGATCCCTATATTGAGACTCCCCATGAGGAAATTAATTCTATTAGTCTACTTAGGAAACCACTATTTTTTTTTTTCATTATTTTGTCCCTGAGGCAAGACATTCTCTTGTGAAAAGCACCTTTAAAAAAAAAAAATCATTTCTACTTATTATGGATAAATTAGGCCTAATGAAATGCAGTCAGAAACCTCCCTCTTCTAACATAGTGAATTTTTTTAAGATAGGTGGGATCATAAACCCAACAAATTTTCACACAAACTTTTCCTTTGTTTGTTTTCTTTGGCATTAAAAACTCTCCTGGAGAGTTCCTGCTCATCAGAGCAAATGCAGTTTAATCACACAGTTGGCACTTTCACCACTTTGAGGAATGTGAATTTTGCATCTTTCTCACGCTGTTTATTCTTCTCTTCCAGGATAGCACTTGCAGACACATTTATGGGGTCTGAGCATCCTCCCATCCATCATGTGTTGGAAAAGCAACTTTGTTATCCACTGCAGTAGCATCAAACTCTAATTTTCCACTTATTTTAGGATTTTATAACTGTGTGTTTCCAGATGATTTTTTATTTATAGCTTGCAATAGCTATTTAATAAGAGGCAAGTTGTGACAGTTGGTGTGGCTTATTGCAGTGATAATGTTTTGTAGCCCTGTAGCATCCTTATTTAAGGGATTCACAGCATTTTTGGAGCTCCACAGCACCTGTAGTGGGTAAACATTCCTCCTGCTTTATCTGTAAGCAAATAGAATTGTGAGTAGCTTTCAAGTAAATAAAACAAGCCCCAGAGACCCAACAGCAGCATTAGTGGAGGATAAACCTTCCCCCTTGATCACTGTTACACCTGCAGGAGAAAGGGCTTTAATGGCTCCTAGAAGGTCACAACAGAATGAATGTCCAGGCAGCCCCTCTGGATCCAAACTGTTCTTTTTGCTGCCAGAGTGACTCCTTCTGAAGAGTTCATCTGCAAGGAAGTGTCTGTGTTGGAGGGAAATGCTTGGAACACTTGGTGCTTGAAATTTCTCAGGTTCTTTCCGTTAATCTCCTGCCATTAAAGGTTGTAGCAGACCAGCACGTGAAGGCATCAGATGCAGCTTGATGGTTCAAACTCCGTGGGGGTCCTGTCATGAGCAGGTAAAGTGCTGTCTGTTCACGGCAGCCTGATCTTCCTCTGGGCAGGAAGAGCTTCCCTACTCACAGCACACTCACGTTCTCACTGCATCATTGACAGGGGCGGCTTAAAGGCAGTGTGACCTGTCTGCTGGAGGTCGTGAAACTTCCACCTCTGCTAATAAATCAGAGCAGCCCCCAGGTGTAGCCACCAAGGGTTCAGAGCAGGAGAACATGCCCTGCAGGCTCTCAGCAGTGATTCTCCCCGAGCTGTGGCTGTGCTAACAAGCCCCTGCAGACAAGCAGAGAGCACCTTAGGGTACAATTGTCCTGCTGTGCAATCTTACCTCTGCTGCACGTGGTTAATCGTGTGTTTCCTGCTCTTTGAGTTGAACTTGTAGAGCAGATGAACAGTGACTGTTTAACCACTGTCTCTGGTGTGATGGGCAGTGTCATGGCAGGGCTGTTGTATCTACACAACCTTTATTTGCAGCTGATTGCAAGTTGTGTGCCACGTGTTGCCAATAGCTTAAAGTTGCTTTCTTTTTGGCAAACGGTTCAAAGAAACTGAAATCTGGTGAGGTGTGGTGGTTCTGATAGCATTTCAGGTCAGTTCTTGCTGTGCACATCGAAAAGTATTGATTTGTGGCAGCAACACGCTGGAGTAAGCATTGCTTAACACCCAGCTAATCTTGGGTAAATATGAACAGATAGAAGAAGTGAAGAAGAGTAAACTGGAAGGCTCTCTGAACTTTTACATTTACGGACAAAGAGGAGTGAAAAAGACTTTGGGCATTATGGTGCCTTTAAATTTTACCCAGTTAGTGTGGTAAGATAATTATGTGTTGAAATATGGTTACCACTGTAGCAGGCTTGGGAAGAGCCGGCTGGTGTAGTGGAACCCTCCACAGTCAGTATCTGAATCCTCTTTTTAATTTTATTTGCTAATAAAAAAGACTCTTCAGACTATGGAATTTGAGAAACAGAGTTTATTTTCAGTCCATTTACTCAGTGAATGCTGTTGCCTTGGAAAACTGAGTCTTTCTTTTAAAGCAAGGAAGGCTTTTGGCCATACTGGTTTTCCTGCATATTTTCTCTCCAGTAGAATAAAACCAAAGCATTTCTAATATGGAAGAGAGAGTGGAGGAGCACTTTTAATAATTAGAAATACTATATTCTGAAATATTTTGGGGTTTTTTTACATTCTGACTTAACCTGTGGAGAACCTTTTGGAGCATAATGAGAATCTATTGGTAGAATCCATTTCTTTGACTGTTACAGTTCTGATGTTTGCTTGCCACTGCCAAGCCTTGTTGCCCACATTCTCATCCCAAGGCGTTTATTTTGTATATATGGTAATACCGTGTGGTGCTGTAGCTCAGGGCAGTGCTGGTTTGCAGCTCCTCAAACCTGCATTCCAAATGTTGTAATTTGAATAAGCCCTCTCTTAGAGCAGTCCGTGGTTCAGCACTTTGTAGAAAGTTTTTACTACACATCCAACACACTCCATAGGATATTTTTACTGTGTATACAATATATTCACTTTCAGCATTACAGTTAAATGTTTGTCCTTTGTTGTCATTTGCCAAGGTAAAGTGAACTCCTATAACCCAATCCCGTTATCAGGTCAGGCTCATTAGAAGCTGTTGGGGAAAGCACAAGGCAATTCTGCGAGTGGTTTCATTAACCTAATAATGACCTCTGGCACAGCTGTAAATAAAGAATGCGGGAGTTTTGCTGCTCCTTTGTGCGTGAGTGGAAAGTGAACTCACAACAGGTTGTTGCCATCCTTTCTCACTCAGCCTCCCTCCTGCTGTTGCTAAAAGTGCTTACCCTTCTGCAGCTGTTCGATAATACAATTTTGTTGGAGTTTATTCGTGTTGTCTGGCTGCTTCTCAGAGATGCTCTTTATATTTTTTTTTTAATTTTCCCGGAACCAGTGTTGTGGTGAACTAAACCAGCACTCTGGGAGCCCTCTGCTGGCACTGTGTGCTTTTGCTTCAGGCTGCGGTCGTATTCCTTCCTTCCTTCCTTCCTTCCATCCCAGCTGTGCTCGCTTCAGCCTAAGGACTCGGATTAGCGTCTGTAAAACTACTTCAACCTTGCTGCTTTTTAATGATTATTATTATTTTACTGTGGGAAGGAGCACTCGCATTCCCGTCCGCGGGAGTGTGGCGGTGCAGACAGGGGCATTTACCGTGTCACCTGCTGATGTCGCGGGGGTGCCGTGAGCGCCTCTGTGGGAGGGCAGCGGCAGGAGCTGCGCTCTGCCAGGGTCTGTCCCAGCTCCCAGCTCCGCTCTGTGCTTTGTGTCTGTCCAGCACGGCTGCGCTGCCGAGCTGCTGACGCAGAGGAGCTGCTCCCAAACCTGGCGGTGCCGGCGGGAGCGCCCTGCGATCCTGGACGGACACCCCGAGGCACCGGAGAGCCGCTCTCCGCCGGTACCGCCCGCTCGGCTTTGGGCTTACAAAAGCCCCGTGTGCCTCTCAGAACAGCACCTGGAAAAGGGGGAACGTTGGCATCGCTGGCTTTGCACGACACCTGTGATTTTACACTCTTGTTTCCTGGCACGCTCCGGTCGAGCCTCCGCAAAGATTTCCCTGCGCCGCGTCCTTCCCCCTCCCCGGGCGGGTGCGGGCACGGGCACAGCCACTTCGATGCAGGCTCGGGGATTTTTTCAGCGCTCTCACGGACTGTACGTGCTCTAAATGCCTACAATACAGAGGAATCCGCCTGCTCCTAATGGGATGCATCTGCAGAGAGGAAGAATTCCTCATTTAAGATGGGTAATAAGCAAACGATATTTACTGATGAACAGCTAGACGCCTACCAGGTAAGATATCTTGGCTTGCTTTAGGAGATGGAAAGGAGTGTAATCTTCATATGATTCTGATTTGGTTTTCTGGTTGGTTCGAGGAGTGGTTTTTCTTTGCCAATATGATTGAAAACTTCCTTTGTAACCTGCGTGCACACATTCTACTGTTCCTTGCAGTACCGGTGTTCTACGGCTGGGTTGTTAGATAAATATAGTTTAATTCCCCCTCTGGATACCGGGAAAAGTCCCATCCTCAATGCCTGGACTAGGAACCAGGATAAAGGTTGTGATGAGCCTGACAAAGTGCAGCAATAACCTCTCTTTCTCCCTCCATGCCTTTGCTGATAATAGAGGAGAAAAGGAAAAAAAAAAAAAGTCTTGTCTAAATTCACTTCTCCTAAAGATAAGTCATAGAAATATGCTTAATGTAAGCCCAGAACAGGGATTGTGATGCTTGCACCCACTCCTGGATAGCAGTTTCTTACCTTAACAGAGTAGTGTTGCATTTTATGTCGGGGATAACTCGATACTTCTCTATTTACTCACATTGTATCAACTGATTTTTAATAGGGTAAAAAATAATTCCCGCTTTCCAGTCATGTTTCAGCACACTGCAGATCGTCCTGAAATGCATTGCAGGAAGCTCTCTGCACAATGAGCACCTTGAACAAGTTTCTGACCAGCCAGTGAGGTGCTGCATGGAATAGGAATGTGCTGAAGGAGGCAGCTGACTCCTTACCCGGAGATGCAGACAGGGCTCTACAGTTCAAACATAGAATTAAACTGAATCTTGATTTCCTGCACTGTTATCTTGTGGTAACCAAGGGACACATCGAGTCATAACAATGATTTGCTGTCAGGATCTCTGATTCAAGCCCTTGAAGTGAAAACTCTTATTTTAGTTACTAATTGTATTTCAAGTTACTGCTGATGTGGACTTTTCACAGGTGTAAATGTTTATCCACAGAGTCGGGCTAGCAAATGCTTTGAACCTCTATCCCATGCTGAAAATAAGGCATAAATTAGATGCTTTTAGAAATACCTCACTCTTTTCTTGTCAGGGCAGGACATGTGGAAATGGACCTTCTCTAATTTCCACTTTGTCACACATCTCACCCTCACCAGCAGCCTGTCACTGTGATATATTAGTCTAAGTTAATGCTCTTAAAAGTCCAGGACCCAAACAGGTTTTTTCACGTCCCTGCTGGACAAGCAAGAGGGAAATCAAAGATCTCTAAAGCACCAGTGCCTGTCCTCCTCCTAACAACAAAAGTGAACACAGAACAGAGCACAACTGCAGTGAACCAAAACAAAATCCAAATGCAATTAATGTTATCTTCTTGACATAAACTGGCAAATGCAAGAGCTGAAATGTCATCCCTAATTCCCTGCTCTTGGTGCAGAAATGGCCTCTGTCTAATGGCTTTGGCAGCCCCTGCCTTTCCTAATGCTGGTTAATTGATCTCGAAGCCTGGCAGGACTTGGACCCGCTGGACTGAGTCACCTTTGGGATTTCTCTGTTCCAGGCAGACTTTAGTTCATTGCTGTAGTCCCAGAGAATTTTGGAGTAGTAACATCACTTGTTTTGTGTGCTAAGTGCTGTAAATAACGAGTTCCAGGACAGCCACTGACCTGCAGGATTTGCCAGGAAGGAACGTTTGCTTCGTGCTGAGAAGAATCTGATAAGAGTCTTATTTTGGTGGTGATTTGCTCTGATCCACTAATTTTGCATCATTGCTGTGTCTTTCAAACCCTGAGATCCTGGGCTGACTGCTGTAACCTCCCCCCTCAGAGAGCTCCTGCCTCTCCACTGCATCCTGGGGGAGAGGTGGCACACAGATGGAGTTCACCATCTGCCCTGCCTTGTTCCCACTGGGGCAATTCCCTCAGAACAGAGATGGGGAGAATGGGACAATGGTTCTATAATTTTTTTAATGCAGGTTTTCATGTCCTGAGCCAGCAGCTGAGTTAGCAGGGGCTCTGAACACTGGACCAGAGTGAGACACTGTGTCCCACGGACCCCTCTGCAACAGCCTGGTGTCACATCTGCACCCCAGAGGGGATCTCCACGTGAATTGCTTTTTAAATGGATCGCTGATTCCTCTCTGGTTTCTCCCCAAAGGAGAACTAGGCAATTTCTTGTGAATTTGTGCGTCTGGGAGTTACTACTGGACCCCTTGCAATAATGCCCAGGGGCACAGTGTTCATATCCCAGCAGGGCAGAAGCAAAAGAATCAGCTTAATCCTTTATGTAAAATATGTTTGGGTTTTTTTCTTTTACTCCCTTACAGTTCCTGTTGGAAAACTGTTCAAAAAAAACCTCACTCACCTCATGGTTAGACTTATAATTTCTTTATTTAAACGTATTTCTGGACATTGTCTTACCTGGTTGTAGCTTCTGCTGGTTTTGTCTTTAGCACAAATTGCTTTGAGTCTATAGCACCAAAATACTACTTTAGTAGTAGGAAATTTTAATAATTTTTTTAAAAATCAGTGAATTTCATGTGCTTGTTCTTTAGGAGACACAAGGAGATGGAAAAGTGAGAAGCTCATGTGCTTAAAGTATGTTAAAATCATGTATGAGTGACTTTGGCTTTAGGGAGTAAAGATGGAGCTGCAGAAAAATCACCTGCTTGAAGAGCAAGCATACAGAAATGATCATGGACATGATATCAATGAGATAAAATAACCTGATGTGATTTATCCAGAACTTTGTGAAGTGCCTGTTTATACAATTATTTTTTTTTTTGATATGTAAACTGGCACTTTTTAGCAGAACCTTCCCATTGAACTGAAATCTGGGCCCTCCCAGCATGACCTCAGTGTTTTTAATGGACAAGTCTTTTGAGTGCTCCTCATTCAGACTGGTGATGGGTAACCAGCTGAAACTGTTTGTAAAAGAGACTTTATAATATTGAACCTTTCAGCTTTTTTTTTTTTTTTTTTTTAAATTCCTGAGAGGCAGATGAAAGAAAGACTGGAAAGCTGTAAATCTCCTAACACCTTGTCACATCACCTGCTATTCAGATCATATCACCTGTTATTAAAACAGTGTTCTAGCTGGCAGCTCTTTAAATCTTCAGAAGATTAGTGAAATGTTTTTGGAAATGAGGCTCTTGCTGGCACTGCTTTCCTGGTGGAGATTCACCTCATTTAAAAACCTGGCCCTGTAAGAAAATTAATTCTACTGGGCATTTCTGATTCTTGTGCCCTCAGAGTATTTATTTGGCTACTCTGGGTTTCTGGGTGTGTTTTTTTGTTTGGGTTTTTTTTTTTGTGTGTATTGGGGTTTTGGTTGTTAATGGTTTTTTTTGTCTTGCCTGTTTGTTTTTTTAATACATAAAATGCAAAATCTAACCAGGGTCTGGTTAGGGAAAAGGTAAATATTGATATGGAAGAAAGATGCATTTCATTGGGAAAAAAAAGGACATTTTCAAATCAAGGTTTTAAAAGCTGCCTACAGATTTTGGAGGTCAAGTGTCACTGGGAACAACAACCATTTGTAGTTGTTCATTAATGCTACTATTTACTCTGCATTATTTAATCTGGCCTCAAAACAGACTTATGTGCCCTAACAGTCTTAAAGGCAATATTGCAATGAAATACAGGACTGTGAAATAATTACCTGCTCCTTTACACAAGAATTTGGCTATTCCAGAGCTCACTTTTATCCTTTTATTACAACTGAACTCAAACTGTATTTCCTGAGAATGATGCAAAACCAGCTGAAACAACTGAGGTTCTGATCTGTCAAGGAATGCCATTTGTAAAGTGAAACTAGGTCAGCGAGCTGTCTTTTGATTTGAAAGCCATGCTTGGTTTGATCAGGGGCTTGGGAGATTAACCCTTTGCAAGCAGCATTTTTAACTCACCGTTAACGCTTCGTGCACTCCCAGGGGTGTAAATACATCGATATCTTGCCGATCAGTCCTGCCCAACCCCACCCCGCTCTCGGCTGTGCGTGGCTCGTAGGACATTTGCAAAACCAGAGTGGAGGGGATAACACATCCGATCTGCAAGTTCTTTTGCTTCTCTGCATTCCCAGACTTCTGATTGCTTCATGGGATGACGCTCTGTGAATGGTGTGTTGATGAAATGATCTGTGTGCACAGAACGGAACGTGGCCGGTGATTGGAAAACCGAAGCCTCTGAAATCATTTCCTTGCAATATTACCTTGGAAAATGCTGCAGCACTCAGTGCTGAGCATTTCTTGGGAGCTGCTCGCTCAGCTCTGTGGATCTCATCTGTCCTGCCCTAAGGATATCATCAACATCCCCATTAGCCACTGGTTTACAGTATCTGTAGTTTCCTGCCTTTTGTCTGAGGCTGCTTTTTAAAATTTGGAGCGATTTTTTGACTGATTTAAATTATTTTCTTATTTATAAAACTTCCCAGTGAAGCTGTTGCAGGATCAGAGTAAATCTACCCTTATGAAACTCTACATATAAAAGGCAGAATATACATGTATTGTCTTAGAGGAGAGAGAAAGTTAATGGATGTAAGAACTGTTTCCCAGCAGCTTTGCATATTTGAGTATTTCTGTTCTTTCTTCTGTAGAGAAGAAAAGACATGTATATGTGAAATAATATATACACACATATAGAAATATGTGTGTATGTGAAATGAGTTTTATTTCAGAGCTGTGTCACTGCCCTCTGAAGGGGTGCTGACCTTTCATTCACCAAACTCTCCTGCCATTCACAGGCTGCCCTCAGGAACTGGCATCCTCTCCCACAGGACAGCTGCTCCTGGAGCCATCCCTCGTGCTGTGCTGTGTGTGGACACCTGGCAGAGGGTTCATTATCAGCACAGTTCTCTCTCTCTCAGTGTTTTTTGTTCAGATCACTGCAGGACTCGATAAAAAGCAGAACCGACCTAGGAACTGGCAGTAAAATCTGTGGCAAAGGTAGCAGGACCACCTATTTCAGTCTGTCCTGCCCTAAACCTGCCTTCACCTGACACAGGAAAGAAAAGAATAAAGCTCACAGCACGTGCATTCTGCTCTTGTATAAAACCATTTGGAAGAGCAGAGACCACTGACCCTTCCCTGCAAGCAAAGCTACCCCTGGAAGCTCAATCACCTGCCTCTGCTCCCTGCAAAGCCTTCTGAGAAGCAGTTAAGCCACCTAAATGCTAAATTTGAGGCTCAAGTCCCATTAGACAACTGAATTATCTTCTAGAAATCAATGGGGAACCTTCTGTTTGCTCGCTTTTATTGTCTTTGCTAGAAGTGAGCTGGTAAATTGCAGATTTAAGTGGTATCTTACCTCCAAGAAAGCAGCAGTGATTCCGTGTCAGACTTCTAATTCCTTAGATGAACATATATTAGAAAGAAAAGCAGTGATTCTCAGGAGCCTTTCTTGCCAGAAATATTGAATTGATAAGGATCATGAAACCTCTGCTGATGTTTGTTTGGTCAGTATTTAGTTTGGGCTTTTCTGGTGTCCAGACAGAACAGACTGGGTGCTTTTTGTGTTCAAAATAAATTCCAATACAGTCCCCAAAGCAGCAAATGTGTTCCATGATAGCTTTGATCTTCCTTCCAGCCCAAGTTACCACGTGTGTAAATGATAAATGCTTTCCAGGACCCACCTCCCCTTTCCTTGTGAGAGAGTGAATTTACCATGTTAACTGTTTCTTGTCCATCACTGTGTGTTTTCTGTATGAATGAAGCAGCCAGGAGAAAATTGGATGATTCACCTCCGTGCTTCTTTGGCCAAAAGTCTTTAATTAAATTGGAATTAAATTGCTTTAGTTCCAGCAACTGTAAAATGTAATTATGTTATTTAGTCTTTTGCTCCATCATAATTTTAATCCAAGTTAGGGCTGTGCTTCCCAAAAAAAAAGAAGAACAAGGAAAAAGAAAATCAGTCCTGCACTCCTTTCTATTATTATCTCGATACTTGTTTTCCCTTCATCTCTTGATTTTCAATATGAGTGGGTTAGTTTATATTGATAAAAATTTTGTTTGATTACAAAATAGGCAGTCACTGCTGTGTTGTCAATGAGAAGAGGCAACTCAGCTTAAAATAAAATATAAAAAAAAAATATGTGGGCTGTCAGCAACACTGGTTTATGACCTGAGCTCTTCATTTTAAGTCTCCCAGTAGCGTTTTTGCCTGATTTCTGCAAGGTAAAGGGTAACTTTTCTTTTTTAATCTTTGTCTTCATTTGCATACCCTCCCTCTCAGCTCTGAGTTCAGGACCAGTGGCTGCTGTTTCCTCCAGCCTCTCTAATGACAGGATGATTGCAGTTACTTGTGAGATTACACCTGCCTTTTCGTGGTAAATGAATCACTTTAAGTGACAGTTTGGGTGCTGATTGTGCTGGAATCGAGGAGGGCTCAGCTCTCAGTGCAGCTCCAGCCAAGGAGCTGCAGTGTCAGCACTGCCAGGGTGCTCCCCTGTGCCTGGAACAGGATCCTGCCTGTGAGAGAGGTGGATAATCAGCCAGAATATTGTGTTTTGGTGCTTGTTCCCTGTCTGCACACCCTCAGGAGCTACCTCTGAAACCAGAAGTTGCATACTCTGAGTTTATGAATGATGATGTCGACTGCTTATCAAATATTTCATTGCCACCAGCGTTCCTGGGTTTGGGTGCAGGGCAGAATTTCCCTTAAATATTTATTTGATGAGATAGTGGAGGTTAGGGGATATTCCTGTTGATGGGATGGGACTGATTATTTATATTTCCTCACAGCACCTGGAATTGGAATTTGTTATTTATAGTTTTCTAGATCCACTTATGGAATATTTTCGGCCTATACCCCCGTTTTTGGGGTTAATTTTGTTTCTGGTCTGGTCATTCCACACTGGAGAAGTATTTCAACAAGTTGTTTGTTTGTTTGTTTCTCCTGGAGTTTCCCATTACAATATTTTTTTTTTACTGGTTTGTGCTTAGGATATTTCAGTTATTTTACAGCACATTTTGCTTTCGGAGTCCAAAGTAGGTCGTGCACAAATGGCATCTTTCATGCTTTTCTGTCAGATCTGAATTTCCTCCCAGAAGGTGGAAAAAGAATTCTTTGCAGTTGTTTTCAATGTTTCTGTAGTACAATGACACATTTTGTTTTTTGACAGGACTGCACCTTCTTCACTCGGAAGGAAATCCTTCGGTAAGTAAATTGCATTAAACTTCTCCTTCGTGATTCACGTGGAAGGGAGTAAATCTTTCCATCTGACTTGGGAGGAAACCAAATAAAGCCCATTGTTTTGCCCCAGGATCTGGGGCATTGTCACACAGATCCTGTCCTGTCACTACCTAGGAACTCGCAATGCTTGGGGGTCTCAAGTTTGAAAAGCTTCTCAGACACGAGAAACTTTGTTTTCATCAACGCTGGGAACAGCTTTGAGATCAAAAGCAGAGTGGTCTCTGTTTTTTGTTGGAAAAGCAGAGGTTGTATTGCAGCTCATTCCTTGCATGGCCTGTCCTCGTTGTTCCTGGAGAAATGTCTTAAAAATCAACAAATGTCTTAAAAATCAACAATCTTCTTTCTGACAGGGCTGCCTTGATGCAGAACTTCTGAAATAGATTTGTTTGGATTGGATAAAACTGGAAAAATGGCTTTATTTTTCTAAAATTTTATTTAAACTCAAATTTGTCAAAGCTTTATGAGCAGTCAATTACTTGCCTTTGTGTTCCTGATTATTAATTAAGATTTTGACACATAAGGTTCTCTTTGTCCCTTTGAATAACTGATCTGTTCTGAGAATTGGGGGTGAAGTGGTTTGTAAACTGTGATTCGGGGTCATCCTGCTCTTAGGAGTCCTTTCTTTTTCTCCTGTGGGATGATCTCTAAGGAAGAATTTAAGTTAACCTGAAAGAATAATTGACTTGCAGTGCAGAAAGCAAAAGTGACTTATCTTGGTACATGTACACCTAAAATACATCCAGAAAAAAATGTCTGGATAAGTAAGAAGGGTAAAACATGTGCAGTACAGGCCCAATTTAAAGAATGTGACATCAAATGTGACCATTTTTATGACAAGACTGGAACATTGGTGGGGGAGGATGGACTCAGAACTGGAAAATGCTGATAAAAGGAAGGAAATGAGGAATCAAACATCTTCACTGAGGTGGTAATTGGGAAACTGCTCAATCTGAATAAGCAAACTTTTTTTTTTAATCTAGAAAGCATTTTCAAACTGTAACTTTGAACCATCATGTGCAGCTGAGAAAATACAGAGCATGTACTTTGGAAAACACTGCAGATGTCAAGAGCAGATATTCTGGAGTAATGAAATCAGAAAGTGTCACAGCATGGCAGGCAGGCAGGGACTTACACTACTGCAAAATCTGCCTGTGGAATGAAGAGCCAGCAAGTTCTGTTCTCTTTTTCTGGGTCGCAGTGGGTAAAAAGTGCTTTTGGAGAATGAGTTGGCAGCTTTGAGAAGCAGATGAGAACCAGCTGAGATGAAGAGGTATTTCTGTGTGGAGTTGTCATTAATTATCATGAATTGTCATTGCCGTGTGCTCCTCAGTTTTTATTGACACGTGAGACTGAGGTAAAGCTTAGGCTGAAGTTTGATACCAGGACACTGAAGGCAGCAAAACCAAATTACCTGGATTTGCAAATCTTTTTTAAATCCTGGTGTTTTGGGGTTGGGTTTTGGTGGATGCCATCTCCAAACCCTGAGGCTGCACTGCACACAGGACCTTGGGCAGTGCCACGGGTGGGATTGGAAGCTCCTGTTCACTTTCCTGCCCTGTCCCTGGTCAGTGTAAGCACCTTTGAGAGGTTATCAGCACTGTAATCAATCTGTGTTACCCCCACTGGATATTTTTGTGCTTTTTAAGTTTGAGGACAATTATTTCCCTTGTCTTGTCAATTTAGGTTGAACACAAATTACTACCTAAGCAACAGAGTGGAATCCAGAGGTGTCTCTACACATCTGAGGAGAAGTTTTACTGAATAGGAATAAAATGGGCTATGATCCCCTAATTAATCAGCACTTAGTGATTTAGCATATCCCTGTCTCAGGGAAGAGGGAGCTAAAAACTGCTGGGAGTTTATTTATTTATGCACTGCAGGCCCCTCCCAGGTGGGGGATTAAGGAAGAGCAGGACCAGTTCCTTTCAGGCTGAACTGAATCTCTTGTGCACCTGCCGAGCTCAGTGAGATGATCCAGCAGGGAGTGACCTCACCAAAACAACAACAACCAGCAGCCCTGTGTGGCTCACCAGCCATTTGTGTGAGTGCTGGTGAGGAAGAGGTGCAGCTGTGCAGGTGGGGATGAGGGGATTAATGAGGCAGCTTCAATTTAGATTGATTTAAAGTGATGGGAACCAGCACGGGATTGCAATTAGGTGAAAGTGTTTTTATCCGTCCCTGCAGGGAAAGCAGCCCATCAAAAACCCAACCAGCAGTAAATCTATTTTCTGCTGGTTTAATAAGCTGAATCAGCTCTCTGAGGGATCAGGGGAGTGCCAAAGCTGGCACAAGAGCCAGAGCCAGCAAATGGAGCTGCAGATGAGGAGAGCAAGGCTTAGCAAATCCCTCCCAGTGAGATGATGGATTGACTCACGCACTGATCTCAGGGTGCAAGGCTTTGGTGTCAGCATCAACCTAAGTCAACAAAAACACAGCCTATGGTCAGAGGGGTTGAGGCCACGTTCTTCTGATTGGTAACCTGAGTGCAGATAGTTTGGAAATTATTGAAGAATAACTGAATTTAGGAATTTTAAATGAAGAAGGAATTAACACAGAATAGAGAAAATGGATCTAGGAAAAGAATAAAGTTAGACTGTGCCTAGTGGAAGAGAAGGAGAGAACCTGGGGGTCATTCTTGGTGTTTGACAGGCATTGTTTATAGAATGTGAGAATTCCATTCCAGTCAGCAGCGCTGGGACCAAACTGGAGGAACAAACTGCCCACTTTTGGGCATCACCAGTCCAAAAAGATTTGTTGTGCTGGAAAACATCCTGTAGACAGAAACATGGGCGAGAAGAAAAAAGGCTGGAAAAACACTTTGTTCATAGCAATGAATCTCTTCATGTTAACGTGCCTCTCCTGTGATTGTAAATGGCAACAAATGGTCGAGTTGTCTCTTAAAAGGCAGTGTTTCTGTTCCTCAGGTCTGCAAATCTGATTTTCCAGCTTTTACTCCAGCAGTAATGGTTGTGTGCTGGCCAGCCCAGCTGTCCCTGCTGCCCCTGTAGCCCAGCACAATTTGGCAGCTACCCAGGCGCTCCAGTGCAGGTGTTCTCGGGTGTCTGTCCCAGCCAGACAGCCCCAAACTTGTCAATTAAAGTTGTTTCCCTTGAGAACCGAGCTGGCCAGCTGCCAGGGGAGCGTGGCACTGCCTGGCTGAGCTGGGCACCCTCTGGGAACTCAGCAGACCTTTGAACCTCTCTGGAGAAGACAATTCCTTAATTCTCCTGTTCCGTTCTCTTCCCTGCGTGTTTGTGACGGGTGGAAGGTGAGGTGGAGAGCCCTTTGAGCCAATCCAGCCACCTGCTGGATTCTAAATCTGAAACCTGCCTGAGAGTGAAGCAGTGAATTCCTCCAATTGCTGGGAAACTTTCCTTTTAAGGCAGCAGGAGCAGCAAAGGGCTTGCTCCAAACTCCCTGTGGAGCAAGCTGATGTGCAGATGGAAGCTCCTGGTTTTCTTTTGAAAAGTTTGGGGTTCAGATGCAGGAAGGGGAAATTCCCACGTTGTCAGCATTGGGGGAAAAAAACCAAACCTGTTGGCCAAAAGAATATAATTTGAGGGAAGTCTTGGGAATGTTCCTGAGTTTTAGGGAAGAAACTACCTACAGGAGGGACATGCACCCTGAAGCTGCTGTTGATCTGCTGTCTGAGCATAAGGAACCCTTTTTTTCCTCTTTCTTTTCTTTTTCCTTCTTCCTGTGGGAGTGACCAAGGCCAGGAACAGGCTGCCCAGAGAGGTGGGGGAGTCTCCACCCTTGGAGATGCTCCAAAGCCATCGGGACCTGGTCCTGGGCCCGCTCTGGGGGCCCCTGCTGGGAGGGGATTTGGACCAGAGGAGCTCCAGAAGTGCCTCCCAACCTCCACCATTCTGTGATTCTTTGAATCACCAGCAGAAAAGAGGCCTGGGAGGAGGGGTTTGAGTGGTGCTTCAAGGAAAGGAAAACATTATAAACTGCTTTTATCCATATTTACTGTGCATCGTGGAGTTCTGGGAATAGCAGAATACGTGTATTGCAAGTCAAAGCCTTCCTAAGTATGACTAGATATTTTAGAATAAATATAGTATTATAAATTATACTTATATTATCATAAATATATTATTCTAAATCGCCAAAATAATTTATTTTTAATTTTACTGCAGATGATTTGGGAGGATACTTATCTAGTGTTCTCTTGAATTAATTAGTGCTGCTTCATTTTGCATTGCAGAGATGAATAAACACTTGACACATTAACTAAAACCTAGCAGAAAGCTCATCTATCCACCTTTTCTCCTCCTATTATGCTGCCTTTCTGTAAATCTTTCTCTGTCCAGCTATTGTATTTTATTGATTTAATGAAAATAACTTCAACTGGAAAGCATAAAAGGGACAAGGCATATCAGTAAGAGAATTCCTTCACCTTTCAACTCCTCCTGCTTGTGTTTCTCACTGTTCTTTGCTCTTTATCTGTTTGTCAAAGTGTGGCAATTTAGGGCGTTGTGGTTTCAGTTTCTATCTGAAATTCCTGGTTGGTGGCATCAAAGTTCCCTGTCATTTTGGCTTCAGCTTCACATGGTAGACCCCTTTCCCTCATAACTGCTGGAACCTCCTCACAGTAATTCCCAGAGGAACTGGGGCAGCACGGAGATCTGTGCCTCAGTTACCACGTGCAACGAGGAACTGTTGTTGCCAAACCAGTTTGTGCGAGTCTGGCATCCATCTGAGACCCTGACAGTGTTTCCTACAGAGGTTTCTTGTCTATTTGCAGTTAGTGATGAATGGCATTGAGGGATGTGTCAGAACAGTCAGCAATCGGGGCAGTGTTTGGGGAACCATCCCTGAGTGTGAGTCCCAGGATTTGTCAGGGTGCACAGCACTGCAGGCTGTGCTGATGGATTGCATGAAGGCAGGAGGGTTATGGGTGTAAATAACCCTGATGTCTACTGAGCTTTACACAGAGCAGCTGATCAGAAATGCACTCTTTCTTTGCCAAAAACTAAGGACTCACCTGGTGTAACAGGAGTTATTCAAGGACACGGGAGTGTTGGTGGTGGAACTGCTGCAAAAGGGACTCTGTTCCTGGTGATAGGTGGCTTTCTTGGCATCCTCTTAAGGGGCTGGGTTATTTTTTTCTGTTATTTTTTCAGCCTGTTTTCTACAAAATCCAAAACTTGATACACTGGAAATCCAGTTTGACATAAAAGAGTTCGTTGTGTCCCTGAAGAACCTTCCAGCATAAAGAGTGGGAGAAGTTGGTTTTAGTTGGTCAGAGGTGTTTTGTTTGCTTTTATGTCTTATTTTAAAGGATAATGGAGCAAGTGCAACACACACAGTGTGTGCTGGGTTTGGAACTGAAGCTGGAGAAATCAAATGGCCCTTTTCACTGTGGTGAGGCTGTTCCAAGCAGAGCTGCAGGATCCTTGCAGACAAAAAAAACACGTGGGAGAGTTTTATTGCTGTAATTTGGTTTGCAGGAGTCAGATCACAGCCACTTCCTACAGACTCGTTTGGATGCTTGAGTGTGAAGTGCACTCAGCTGGAAAGCTCTTACACCTGCAGATCTTTGATTGGGTGAATTAATGGAAGAGTTAACTGGGAGGAAAACAGGATGTCAGAGCTGCCCTCAGATGTGCTGCTGATTACTTGCCCTTTTCTGTGGGGTTTGGGTTAGAGTGATGCTGCTTGCTCTGGATTGATTGCTTCAAAATTTCTGTCTTAATTGGATGAGCATCATAAGAAGCTTTTTCCATCAAAATAATACTGAGCACGTAATACAGATCACCTTGAGCCACAGTGGGGACAGTAAAGTGCTTTTCTATTTACCTGTAATAAATACTTTTTACTTGTCATCTTAGTACTCAGTCTCTGTTGTTGGCACTGTGTTATTCCCACTACTAGAGGAACTTTAAATTCACATTGTTCTGGGTGTTTCTTTTATTTCTATGAAGAGGTGTTTATTTTTGTGATATGCTTGTATTTCAGTAACACTTTGCCTCTTTTTTAAATTTATCATGTATTTGGTGCAAGTAGAAAGGGAACCACCTTTTTCTTTTCTTTTTAACAAACATGAGGTTTAAGAGTTATTACTGACAACTGTAGAAATTCCATTCCTCACATTTCAGATTGATATAACCAGCTTAGAAAAGTAGGAAACACAGGCAGCTTTATTCCAGTCCATTCCCTCTCTCTTCCAAAAGAGAACTCCTTGAAGATGCCCAGCTTGGTGCTTGGATTGACAGTCCTGGTGGAGGAGACAGAGCAAAGACAGACAAATCTGGTGGAGGAGACAGAGCAAAGACAGACAAATCTGGTGGAGGAGGCAGAGCAAAGATAGACAAATCTAACCCTGGAGGAAGCAGAGAACAAATCCTGGCAGTTACAGTGAGCAGGGATTGTCAGTGCTGTGGTTGGAAGTGTTGCCCACAGTGGTCGAGTCGTGCTTTATTTTCCTGAAGACCAGAACACCATTTCAGGACTCCAGCTCTTTAAAGATGAGATCATCCTTAGAGATGGGGATTGGATTGGAAAGGTTTGCTTTCTTTCAAGTGCTTTTAAGCTGGTTTTTCTGGTGTGTTCAGAGGCGTCCTTGTAGCTGCTGTTTACAGGGGAAATGGCTGCTGCATCTTGAATTACCCAGCATTTCTGAGATGTCAGGGGGAGCTGTGGTGAGCAGCTGAGATGTGCTCAGATCAGTGGATATCTAATTTCCTGTGGGGCACAAAATGTTGCCGTGCAGTGGGAAGGGCTGAGTTTCCTGAGATCCAGAGAAAAGGCGATTCTGGGCTTGGTTTCACGTGTTCTGTGGGGCACTTCATCATGGTGAGAGGGGAGATGATTTCCTCCTGGCTTTTGAAATTAATCACCCACGTGAATCTGAAATGGCTCAGCTGGTGTGGGGCTGACTGCAGCTAAAGCTGGAAGGATGGAGGGGTTGGGGAGGCGTTACTTTGTGTATTACTGGTTTGTTTATGTTCTGCTCTTTAAAACATGGGCATCTCTATTTGTAATTGTTAGTACACCGAGTGAGCAGGGAAAATAAAGGGAAAATAAATCACAAAATAACAGCTTTTTAATATACACAAGCAGTACATGTTGCCTCTTGCGAGACCAGGATACTCTGTGTTGCTACATAAGACGTGACAAAGTGACCACTTTCTGACCTCAGACAAGTTTATGAATCAGGTGTCAGACTCAACTTCCACATGTGACAAGGATTGCATTTTACAGGACCTGATGTTTTCTGGGAACAGCAAATATTACTAGAATCTGTAAGATTAGAAAATCAGCAGAATTACACCCAACACTTGAATTGCTTCTACACAGGTAATGCTTTACTTACCAGGCCATTTCTGCCTGGAGTTTTGTTTGAGAGCACAAAATTCGAGATCCATTGGTGAGTTTGAATAGGACACCCACTGTACTTGAAGTGTTTCTATTCCTAGTTTGAGTGAGCATCCCAGTGACAACAGATGTGCCAAGGTAGTTTTAAAATTTACATCCTGGTTAATTTGAGGTTTTCTTTACACAGGGTTGTTTTCTCTCGCTTTTGGGGCTGTGTTTTTGCACTCATTCACTGGAATATTTGGACACAGCTAATAAAGGGTGGGATTAACACTTGTTAACTCAGTTCCATTAGTGATTTGAAGTAATGCTGTAGAAGCATTTGTGCAGTCTTTGCCCAGTTTGTGCATAAGACTGAGACAGTTTTATAATTTTTATAATTTACTGGTAGTCAGCTCCTAGATATTTAGAAACATTGGTATTTCATGACCTTTGACTGTTTTTTCCCAGCTCTCTTCCAAAACTAATCTTGATTCTATTAGCACAGCAAGTGAGCTCCAGAGAGCAAAACTAGTTTTGTGAATGCTGGACTGGGGCACCTCTCTGTAAAAACATTTGCTTATTGCCTGTAAAATATCCTGGTTTGGGAATAAGCTGAGCCAAGAGTGACACAAAACTGTGAGACACAGTGGAGTGGAAATGCTCTGTGTGTGCTGTCAGCCAGGGCTGGGATTGTAGATGTGAATCTGTGCTGTGAGTGAGGCACAGAGAGGGAGGGGGCTGTTTTCATTCAGAAGGAATTAAAGAATCTCCCAAGGAATCTACTTGGATATTGTTTGGCTTTGAAATCCTTCGAGCTGTTAAACAGCAGCTTCTTGCTTAGTGGATGCTGCATCACAGCCCTCTGTTTGCAGAAAGCTGGGAATTTGGTGGGCTCAGACTCGTGCAGATTTGTGTCTGATGACCTGCATGAGTGGCACTGGTTGGTTGAGGTTGGTCATTGGCTCAGACTCGTGCAGATTTGTGTCTGATGACCTGCCTGAGTGGCACTGGTTGGTTGAGGTTGGTTACTGATTGATTGTCTCTGCTCATTTGCAGGTTGCACGGCCGATACTACGAAATGGCCCCCAACGTCGTGCCCATGGACTACACAAAGGACCCAGATGTCAAACTACCTATGCAGCTGATAATTAACATGCCTGAGCTCAAGGTATCCCTTCTGACTGCTTCCAGACTGTATCTCATGTAGCTCATCTGCCAAGGGAGTTTGATATCCCGAAGCAACGTGGTGGTCTGAGCTCTTCCCCTTCCTGCCACTGTTCAAGGGCAAAACCAGCCCCAGAAACTGGAAAGGGTTTGGGTGGATGCCTTTCTTGCAGGGCTGGTTGGGGTAGATGTTCATAGGAAATGAATGGGAAATGAAGTCAAATGTAGCAGTTTTTGCCCCTCTGTGTGGATCCATCCCAGAGGAGCCAGTGGGGTTTGTGTGTGAAGAGCTCTGCTGGTCAGAAATCAGGAGTTCTTTTCTCAGTGTGCTGATTGGAAATTTGCCAGAGGTGTGCAGAGCGTTGCTGATAAAAAAGAAAGGTTTTCCCCTTTTTTTTGTTTCAGCTGCCTGAGCACAGTTGGGAGCTTTCCTTTTTCATGGGGACATAACGTGGTAGTTGGTGGCGAGACAGTCCATGTACATGAGAGAAGCAGTGACCATAAAGCAATCAGTGAAAAGAAAATATGGGGCACTATTTGTTTTGATTCTTGTACCAGTTCAACCATTTAATATGGTTTTAACGGGACAAATACGGATTTTTAGCAGTTATTTTTTCCGACAGTTCATTGAATTATGTTGTGTTTGGTCTCAAGGTCTGTTTTTTAATTAGTTGATTTCTTTAAATGAGTATAATGTGGAAACAACTATTGGTTCAGTCTGATAGCTGCATGAAACATATTAAAGCTTTTTAAGGAAAACAATGCCCTAGAAACCTTGTAATTGCTGGCCTTCCACTTGATTTTAATGATTTAGAAATTGTTCTTTAATGCTGTATTTTTCCCCCAAATATCTGACACTTTACAAGCAGAAGCAGCGCTTTAGAAATCCACCTGGGGAGGAGGTTAAAAGTCAACATGGAGAGGAAAACATTTGAATTAGATTTCAAATGAGAAATTACAGTCACACAGAGCCTTTTGGGCTGCAGTGACACTCAGGGAGCAGCTCATTCCATGAAAACGTTGGAGCTGGAAGACTCCTGTGTTTCCAAGCCAGCCTGGTACTGAGGCTGAGATATAAAGCAGGAATTTCCTTCTGGAACCTGTTTAGATTGAGATCTTGCTGCCTGAGCAAACTTGGGTGGTAATGACACATTTCCTGAGAGAATTCCCTGTGTGAAGGGGATCACAATCCATCCTCTTGCACCACATCCTGGGAGCTTTTCAGGCCCTGCTTTAGGAGATGTCTCCAGGGTGATGGAACTTGTCTTGATGAAAAAGCAGGACAAGTTCAGTGTTTTATATATTTTATTTATATATTTATTTATATATTTATATTTATATATTTATTTATATATTTTATACAGGTGCTCTCCCAGCTCTCATAAGGCTGGGTAAGAACCGTAGAAATTCTTGCTCTCAAACCACTCTTTAGTTCAGGAATTGTGGCAGCTCAGAGAGAAAAGTGCTTTTAAGAGCTAGTGAGCTTGTTTCCAGGAAAATATCACTAAGGAGAGGCTGGATCTTATTCCATAACTCTTTCAGAGCTGTTAAAATGCCACTTAGGGGCTCAGTGATAAATTGGGACCCATCTTGGTCGTTTGTGATCACCTGTGCAGATGGAGGTGAGAGCAGGGAGGGTCTTTCCCCAGGGGTTCATTTCTGAAGCACTCTGGGTGCAATAACTTCTCATACACCAAGAAAAAAAACATCTCTGACCTCTGCAACTTGGCCCAGGCTGCCCAACACAAATCGTTACGGTGTTTGCTTTCTTTGGGAGATTTTCATCCAGGTGAAGCCAAAGCCAACATTTCAATCTTAAAATAGAAATAAATGAACGAAATGTCTATTGAATTCTAATACAATTAGTGCTAATTTCCCTGCACCTGGCTTTTTTCATATACACATTACATTTCTGGTTACTGGCAATGTTGAGCTCAATACCCCTGCAGGTTCTGACAAATGGATAGAATCAATAATGCACTTTTCTAAATTAGATTCTGCTACTGTAAAGAAAGATCTTTACCTCCTGCATTAAGGTTTCCAGCCAGGATTTTGGTGTTTCTTAAAAAAAAAGAAAAAAAATGCTGCTGGTCACTCCCTTTAATTGGCAATGAATTATTCACTAACTCCTGATTCTTAAAAGTTGAAAGTCGGGACAAGAAATAAATAAATAAAGAAGGGAGAGATACTTTAAGTGGATTAGTTCTACCATTACACTGAGGTTAACAGAGCTGCTCCACCCCATCAGTGGCGCTGCAGCCTCTGCTCTCGAACTCTGACAATCTTGGTCACACAACCTGTGGTAAATTTAAACCTGAGTTCACCTGGGCTGCTTCCAGACAAAATAAAAGTGGGAGGGGATTTAAAAGCGCTTTCAGTGAGTCTGCAGGTTCAAAGCTTGCCCTGAGGGAGCAGGTTGATGTTCTCCCCCAGCCCTGCTCCTCCAGCAGCCTTGCCTGCATCCTGGGAGGTGTTTGTGGTCACCATGGGGTGTTTTAATCCTCTCAGACCGCTCTTCTTGCTTCCCTGGAGGCCCTTTTTTAACTCTGTGCCCCCACTGGGATGTGCTGCAGGTGTCATAAGTGCAGCCTCCTGGCTGAGGGAAGCAGTTTTGGTCACAATTCCTCATCTTGCCATCGAGGTCTGTGATGTTGAAGCAGTTCTGTCTCCAACCCCAAGCTTTGGCTGTCAAGAGTCATTGCTGAACTGTCTCATGTTTCTGTGATGTGGTCTTTTTGTAAGACCCAAACATTTGAATTTAGCTGTGTTGGAGCCTTGGTTTCTGCAGGGGTTTCTTAAGCAGTTTTGATGATGTTAATGTAATCATATACACATAAAACCCACGTTATTGATTTTGAGGAAGAGGAAAATGAAGGTAAAAAACCCCAAGAAAGTTGCTTTTATCTGCTCCGGGGATAATTGGCTGTTGCTTGTGATGCTTCCTTTCCAAAGTCCCAGCCTTTCCTGTGGTAATGAACAATTTTGCCATTTTTACACTAATGTTTGTCTGGTAATGTCTCTATTTTTTTTTTTTTAATTATTTTTTTAGGAATAACTCCTGAAATTTGAGACAGGTTAGCTTTTGATCAGTTCTGAACAAGGCATCCAAAGGGATCCTGACTTCCAGTAGTCTGCCAAGCAGACTGATTTGTGCATTTAAATATATTAAATATATTCCCTGAAGTCAGTGGGGACTTTGGTCCAAACACAGAGGAGAAAATCATCATTGTCATTTAACGAGGCAACTTTCTAGTTTTAAAAGGATTCTTTATTTTGTTTGTTTTTAACAATTGGTGCTTAAGGGAAAGCAGTGTAGGAAGGAACAGGATCATTTTCCCCTTTCCCTTCCCCCCTGGCTTTTCCTTTAAAGATGATGGAACCCTAATCTGTGCTCTTTAGAGGGGAGGTAATGAAATTACAGAAAGGATGTGAAAAGTTATCTGGGAGGGTAAGCTAATACTTTCCATTGTGTAAGCCACAGATGCACTGCCCCAAGACACATCATCTGAGAAACTTAAGGGAAAGAAATCAATAGGAGGAAAGATTTTCTTCTTCATTTAGGTTTCAGAGATCCATTTGGCCAAGAGTTACTTAAGGAGCCTGCTTAGCCCATTTAATTCTTTCTTAATTCAGCTGTGTTTTCAAGATCTCTGAGGTGCCAAATGGAGGACTCATCTTCTGCACCTGCAAAATGTTTATTGGGTGAGTGAGAGCCTGCCTGGCATTTCTGATGTGCCAGGTTTGATGTTCCCAGCTGATAGGGAGATTTGCAGCCCTGGGCTCCCTGTTTGTTACCCAATGCTGCCTCTAAGATGTCACGTCACAACTGTTACACTTGGTTCTCCTCAGGTTTGTTCCAAAGGGAGTGATGTCGTATTTTAGAAATAAAAAATAATTATTGGCGTGTTCTGACACCTCTTCTGATAATATATATATAATATATATATAAAATATATCTTTGAAACCTCCCCTGGTGCAATTTGAGGCCATGTCCTCATGTCCTGCTGCTGGTTCCTGGGAGCAGAGCCCGACCCATCTCAGCTCCCCCCTCCTGGCAGGGAGTTGTAGAGATGATGAGGTCCCCTCTGAGCCTCCTCTTCTCCAGGCTGAGCCCCCCCAGCTCCCTCAGCCCCTCCTGCTGCTCCTTCCCAGCTCCATTCCCTTCCCTGCACACATTCCAGCCCCTCCATGTCTTTCTGGTAATGAGGAGCCCCAAACTGAACGTGGGATTCACATCCTGTCTCCGGGAATTCTGCTTGTGGTGTCTGTTCCTCAGCTCTCACCCACCCTGAGGGGACTGGCACACACATTTACCTGGTTTGTCAGTAGGTGAATATTGGCCTTTTAGCAAAATCATTTGGCTGGTTGGTGTATCCCATCGTTACCTGGAGACCTGCTGGAATCAGGTGTGCTCTGTGAGGATGTGAATGGCCACCAAAGCTGCTGACAAAAAGTATCTTCAAGTTCCAGCTGGGAAGGCCTCTGAAATCTGTTCTTAAAATTTTATCCAGCTCCCAGGTTCCCACTGTGATTTCAGCTGCACATCTTTGCCCCCAGCTCTTGTTGTGAGCTGCTGCACACCCTTTAACTGTTGCTGAATTTCACTGCAGAGGCAGCTGCACATTGGTAATAAGTGGCCCAGTTCTTGTAAGGTATTTTATGTTCCTTTAAGAGGAAGGATGCTACATAAATATAATATAAATCAATCTCTTCAGCAGCTCTGCTTTTTACCTGCTGCTTCCATCTCTGTCAGACTCCACAGCTGTGCTGAAAATGTGCCCTGTTGATGCATCTGTTCTGTGTGTGAATTATCAAGAGAGAATTCGAGTAAACTGAAAAATAAGATTTTTCTGGTCATTTGCCTCTGGTTTATGAAATTTCATTTAAAATAATTGGATGGTTTATGAACACCTGTTAGGTAATTAAACTTAGAGAAAAAAAGAGAAGTTAGATGGACTGAGCTTCTGAGCTTTCCCAGTCCTGCTTCTTTTAAAGCCAAACAAAATAATGCTGCATGCACATTAAGAATATGAAGCATGATGTGCCACCACTGAAGCTGTTTACATTTCTAGAAGATCAATATGTGGATTGGTGTCTTGGTTTCTGTAGATCTGTGGAGCAGCTTTGATCAGATTCAACTGAATGGAATTGATTTTATAGATACAGTTTTATAGATACAGCTACAGATTAATTGGGGGTTTCATAAAGCTGTGACAGAGATGTTGCTTTGATACTGTAAAAACATTTGGGTTGGACTATTTGGGAGTTTTAAAGCAGCTTTTCTTGTGCCTGCTCGTGTGTTTGTGGGTTTAGAACATTGTCTCACTCGTGGGTGCAGGGAAGGATCTCGGGATTGTCTCCTGTGGAGATTAAATTGCATTTCAATCCCTGGAGTTCAGTCAGTCCAGCCACAGGTTGGACATCCATGGTATCAGTGCAGATGAAAGGCTTTTCTACAAGATTCCACTGGGATGTGACTGCATCCTTAATGACTGATGGTTCTGCATAGCCAGGGGTGGGATGCAGGCACTGTTTTTCTGAAGTGGTTTCATAAACACTGTTTGTCAGGAAGACCCTGTTTGCTTCCTTGGCTTTCTCCCTTGGTCTCTGTCTCCATGCCCTCCTGCCAGCCCCTGTTCTCCTGTGCCAGCTGTCACCTCCTGCCCGTGTCAGTCTGACACCCTGGCAGGAGCCTCTTACCCGAAAATCACCTCAGGCTCTTGGCACCTTCCCTGTAACACTTAAAAAGCACTGGAGGAACCAGATGGGCACCAGTTTGGAGAGAAAGAACCTGGGCAAGAGGTACAATGGAGACACTTCCTGCAAAAGCATACAGATGTCAATTTTTGGATGCATTTTGGGAGGAAAAGTTGTCTTCAAAGAACCAACCATGGAACTGGGTATTCGTTATCAGGCAGTCTTTTGGCGGTTTTTTAATCTTTAAATACTAATATATAAATATATGGGTTTTTCCCCAGGAGAATCCCTTCAAAGAAAGGATTGTGTCATCTTTCTCAGAGGATGGAGAGGGCAGCCTCAGCTTCAACGACTTCGTGGACATGTTCTCCGTGCTCAGTGAAATGGCTCCCAGAGAGCTCAAAGCAATCTACGCCTTTAAGATCTACGGTACCGGCCGGGAGGGTGCTTGGGGGGTTGGGAGGGAACGATTGTGAGAGCTGTCGGTGACCTTTGGTTCTTTTCTGGTGCAGATTTTAACACAGATAACTTCATTTGTAAAGCAGACCTGGAGCAGACGCTGAATAAGCTGACGAGGGAGGAGCTGACGGCAGAGGAGATCACCCTGGTGTGTGAGAAGGTGATAGAAGAGGCTGACATGGATGGGGATGGCAAGCTGGGCTTTGCAGATTTTGAGAACATGATTTCCAAAGCACCAGACTTCCTCAGGTACTGTTTTAAGTCTCTTAAAACATACTTTCAGGTGGTTTTTTAGGATGTGTGGTGCAATGCAAGAAGTGTCAGATGTGAATATTTTACTGCAGAACTGTCTCGAGGATGACCTAACTCAGGTTATTTTTCTAAAGCACGTTCCTGTTCTCTGCTCACTTGGTGACTAAGAGCTCAGTGGCTTCTGTGTGGGTTCTTCAGGAAAATATTTGGATTATTCTAAGCTCAAATTCATATTTTTCTCAAGCCTATAGCGAGACTCCCTGCATAGAATTGTGTGTAAATATTGTCTACGTGTTACAAATATACATGGAAAAACATGGTCTTCTATGCTGAGCAGGTGAGAGCATCTTTAATGCCGATGTTTTTTTAAGAACTTTCAAGTGTCCTGCAGAACACAAAACAGTTTATTGCTTCCATAAATGAAATTTCTGAGGGGAGACATTAAAGCAAAGTGATCAGCAAAGCACTAGCACGTGATTGCCGTGAATCCTGAGGAACATCCGCTTCTTGAGAGGAGACACTGCATCAGGCATTCCCTGACTAATCAAGTGGTTTAACAGACTCCCTTTTAGAAACATTTAGAAATATTTCATGGTTGTGGTGAGGTGGGGCCCAGGAGGTGTTCTGCTGTTTGGTTTGCATACATTTCCAGCTAAGAGAAAGCGTTTTCTTCATTGTGCTGCTGGGGTCAGGTGGAGTTTCCTTTGTCAGTCCAAAGGCTGCTCTGCACCTACAGACCTGGTGGAGGAGCTGAAGGCAGAGCTGCAGAGTCAGCAGGAGCTGCAGGCTGAGGAGTCTCCTGTGCCATGACTGACTTCCCTGCTGTGTTGTGGAGCCTGGCAAACTGCTGACTGAGAATTCCAAGGTGAGGATGTTGTGCATCCTCAGCCATTTCCTGAGGAAGTGGCAGAGAGGAGCGTTTGCCGACGCAGCCCTGGGATGACTCAGAATTATTCTGCTTTCCCGAGTTTGGGATGTTGTGGGAAGATGAGGGAATGAGTGGAAAGAACTGAGTGCTGGGTATTGAACAGGGCAAGATGATGAGCAAGAAGAGGCCTTGTTGTAGATTAGGTAGGAGAAAGCAGAGTGCCAATAAAACCAAAGGACCAGGCTACCAAGGGTTGGAAGATTGAGCATCTGTTGCTCAGTTTAAACACAGGTCCTTGGATCTGTGTTCATGACACAGTGAACTCCATGTTTTCAATGTGTCTCCTGCGTGTTCAGGATGGTGCTGTGCATATTCAAGAGAAATCTTAACTTGCCTCTTCTTTCAGGCTCAGGAGATCAGCTGAGTCCCAGGATTCATCTGGGAAGTCCTCAGGCTGAAGAGCCCCTGATGACATAAAGGAGGGTTTCCTTCCAAATCCCAGCCAAAACACTGGCCAGGCAGTTTCCATGTGGACAGCAGCTTCTATTTGGATGGCAGTATAAAGAAAACAATCTCTTAGCTGGAAATATATGTAAAGAAAGTCTTTAGAATCCTCTCGAGATGCTGATGTTTCTCAGGGTACATCAACATGGTTTTTAACCTTTGGAGCTTTATTGCAAAATGAAAGTATAATAGAAAAGAATCTCAGAGCTGAGAAGGGAATGTGTAGGTTCTCTGATCTGGTTTCTGATCCATCCAGAATTAACAGCTCAGGAAAAGAAGGTGACAAAGTGACAAGGCCACTTTTATCCAAACCAATCTGTATGGAAGGCTTGATACCTCTGCCTTATTGTGGTTTACTGTTCACTTTGCCTATAAAAGTGGGGTTTTTTCCAGGATATTCTTAGTCATATTTTTCCTGTGTGCACTGCATCCCTGACTGACATATTTGTTAACGCTGAACCTCCTGATCTGAGGAGCTTACTCTCATTTTTAAAATGCTGTGTAAGTGTTGCATTCTGAGCGAGACAGGGATTTTGGGATGGGGTTCACTGAGGTTTAATGTTATACCCAGGTGTGATGGGACCTCTCTGGCAGTAGCCAGTGTGTGACAGAGTGTGTGACAGGGGACAAGAGGGCAATTCCTGCAGCTGCTCTCTCCCCACAGAACCCAGGTCCCGTTCTTTGGGTTCAGTTGGACACGTGGCCTGTTCATTTAACGAGACGCTGCTTTCTCACCCCGTTGTGAATTAATCCCCAGCTCTCTTCCTGGCTTCTCATTTTCCCTTCTCCTCGGTCTCCAGCTGGAATGGCATTTGCAGGGCTGGCCATGGGCTGTGTGCAGCTTCACTGGGTAATCTAATACAGAGCAGGCAAAGCTCAGGAAGTGGCTTAACACAGATCACCAGCCCTGCTATGCCAGGGGTGACCTTACCCTGCACAGCTCCTCAGGATTGCAGCAAGAAATAAAAACGTGTTTTCACCTAAAATCGTCCCTTCTGAAACCCGTGGGACAAACCCCAACCCATCAATGCCCAGGGACAGTCATGGCTTCATTTGCTTCTGCTCATCTCCACTTCTCGTGCCCAGCTGAATGCACTCCAGAATTCCAATCCCAGGAAGCCCAAGAGCCTGCTGATTTATGCTTTCAGCTGCTCAGCTGTGAAAATGGAACACGTGGGAAGCAAAGCAGCAGCAGCCACGCTGCAGATGATTGCCAGGGAGCAGTTGGAGTGCTGGGAACCTCAGGTTTCAGGCATTTTGCTGTGAAGAGATGGGCAATCAATATTTATGGATACCTGATCCCAGAATACCAGGCTGGCACCTGGTAGAGGATCCTGTTGGAAATGCTGAACAGCTTAACGAAGCCTCGGGTGATTTTTAGTTGTAGTAAAGGGATTTCTTATTCTGTTCTTTGCCTTTTTACCCTACCAAAAGCCACTTCTTCCCATCAAAAAAAGGAGGAAATGTAGGATTCAAGGCAGTTTTGTCCCCAGCTCAGCCATTGCCTGAGCAGGTGATTTGTGCTGCTGTGTGGGACCAGTGCTTGCCTGGCTGCTGACAAACACTGAGGACTTCTGTAATAGGAACTGTAAATTCTCATCATCCTTAACATGAGATCTGAAGTTCCTGGGAAGGAATATCCTCTTTGCTCTTTGCAGGCCAGATTCTCCTGTCAATGTGCACTGAGTTTTGAAGCCCTTTTTTTACACAGCTCAGGGTGTTGGTGTTTTTCAGGCTGTCCTGTTCTCACACCCAGTGAGCTGAAGTTCATCCATCCCCTGTACACTGACTGATTTTCCTTTCTCAGACCTTTACCTGTGACCCTGTGTGGGTTTAACCTCCCCCAACAGCCTTTGTGCTGCTGCCAGGTAAATGAAGATGCAATAAAGTTGCTTGATTTGTGCTGCTGTGGCTGAGGAAACACTGGCAGACTGGAAGCAAACCCTGACCAGGAGGGCAGATCTCTGTGTTTGGCTGCTCCCAGCAGCCTGACTGAGCTGTAAATGGCAATGACACTTGCAGGTTCAGAAAATTGGAGCCCAGGAGTTTTATTTCACTCAGAATTGTTACCATTAAGAAGCTGCTGGTCGTTTAATGGAAGTGTGAGCAGTGTTCTGTTCTACAAGGCTGGGTACGTTTTCCACAGGAAATTGTTTTATAAATCATCCTGGAAGGTTCAGCCTATTGGAGTGCCTGAGGGTGAAAGTGCTGTGACAATAGGAAATGGAGTTGGGGAGGAATATGGCATCAGGAATACCTGGGAGCTGCCAGAACCAGGCAGAGAAACAACAGATTGAACAGCATGATGGCACTGGAAATGCAGCATTTCTGGAACCTTTGGGGCCTCTACCCAAACAGCAGAGGTTGTGACTCCAGTCCTACCTAAAGCTCTCCTGTAGGGAATGTGCATCTCCCAGGATTGTCCCAACATGCAGATTAATTTGTTCTCAAGGACTCAAAGTGGAGCTCGTGACAAACTGGCACGAGATGCTCAGCAAAGAAACGGGGAAGGGAATAACTCCAGTCAGTATTTTTCAAAGAGCATTTTGGCTGCTCCTGAGTAAAAAGCTGACTCTTCAAAGGCCAAAATGACACTCTGATAAAAATAGGATTTTTTCCAAGAAATAGATTTCCAGTGAGTTGGATTTGGAGGGAGTTTTTTCAAGGAGTCAGGCCCAAAATGTCTTCACCTGCAACACTATGGATTTTGTAGTTTCTAGATATTGCCTACGTGGGAGTTACATTTTTAGGAGTTTGGATTAATATGGAGCTGTGAAAAAATGTTTATAATTCCTCTTTTTTAAAAAAAAAACAACCCTTAGTTGTGGTAAGCTCTCTGCATCACTCTCTGCGTTCTGTCCCAGTCCTTAGGCTGCTGTGCCAGGCTGTGCCCAGCACATCCATCACCCAGACTGAATCAGTCCCTAGTTCTGAGGGACCATGGGGAGTGTCAGGTGTTATCTCCTCCAAATCCGTGCCACAACCTTCCTTGAGTGAACTCCTGATCCAAAGCTGATTGCTGCAGTTCAAACAGTCTGGTAAAACAAAACCCCCAAACTGTACACCCAGAACTTTTCAACCTCCCCAATACCCCAAACCTCGAAGGTTTCCCTTGAGAGTGGGCAGCAGAATTATAGAATTTACACACAGAAATACACAATGATCCCTTCTGATTTCAGCCAGTCAGGAAAGAAACCCACAGTTTATGCTGCCACGACACCGAGCAGAGGTTGCTGCCTGGAGACACCGAGGTTTTTGGCACATCCTCCTGAAACTGTGTCTCCCTGGCCTGCTGAGATGTCAGGAGCTCTGCTGGGAGCTGATGGCAGTGCAAAGATGTGCTGCTTGCCTGTGTCACGGTGCAAACAGAAAGGAGATGACAACCAGCATCTCTTCATCCCAACAAGAGAAACAACAACTTCACCTGCCTAATTTGTCTCGTTTGGGAAAACCCAAATGCTGTTCCAAAGCAAAAGTACCACTGGGAAACATTTAGCTCTGCTCTGTATCCAGTAAATAGGTCGATTTACCCTTGATTTCATGCAGGGCTGAGTGAACATTTTCAGAAGATGGTATGTTCTCCCTTAATGTTTAAATCTTCTCAGGGTGTGAAAGAAAAGACTGTACTCCAAGAAGACGACTGTGCAGAGTGACAAACATGTTGAAATCTCTTCATTTTTCCCCTTCTTTTGCAGCACTTTCCACATCAGGATCTGAAGATGTTGCTGAGAGCCGGTGGTATCAGAAATGACTTTGCCAGCCCAGCCTTCCTGAATCTCAGGCACTCCAGGGGCTTTTGTCCTCTCCTGAGGGCTTCTCTGAACTCAGCAGGAAGTCCTGAGGGAATTCTGATCCACAAGGAGACACAAACATCACTACAGGATCTTTGGAACAGTCACATTTTTATCTCCACTGCTGGCCAAGCACTCTGGCAAAGATGGTTGGTGGTTGGGTCGTGCTTTTTTTGGTTTCTTCCCCCCCACACACACCCCCTTTTTTTAAACAGTGAGAACCAGAATATTATTAAAGGTATTTCCACATAGTTTTTATATTTATGAATATTTAATACTGCTCTTAAAAGTGCAAAAAAAACCAAAACGAAAGAATGAGAGAAAGGTTAGCTCTGGTGTGTTTTCCAAGAGGATTTGGAAGGGCCTTAACCAACGAGATGCCTCTATCACTGTGTGGTGACTGTCCTTCCTCTGCTGGGCTCCTGCATTTCACTCCTCCTGTGGGCTGCTGATGCTGAGAGGATGAACGTGGTCACCTGGGACTCGGGAACAAGTTGAAGAAGCACAGAACTCCTCCCAAGGACACGAAAAGACCTTTTCTTTCTAAACCAGCTATGCAATCTTTCCCATAAAGTGCATGAATGCAGCTCTGTATTCCTCTCCCCCCTCCAGATCTTTCTTTTTTTCCCCCACTTCCAGTATTGTTTAGGTACTGGGGCCTGAAGACAATCAGATGTGTGTGAATTCCTGTTCTAACAGTCAATGGAAGGGCTCTGTCACTTCACATGGCTTCTGTATCAAAGTCATCTCCATTAAAACCTTTGAGTCATCCCGTTGTGCTTGGGGGATTTTTGAGGCCGAGCACACTCTGATTTGTTTGCTGATCGTTATTGCAATTGCTGTGAAGTGAAATCTTTCAGATGTGTTACTCTTACTGCAAAAGTTGCTGGGGAAATGGACCTTTTTTTATCATTTCTGTAGGGATGGTGATGCTTATCTACCTCAGGAACTCTTCTGTGTGGTGAGCTTGCAGGGTGTGGGTGTTCATGGTTACACACTGTGCAAAAAGAAGGAGTATTTATCTAGGGGAGTGGTTGTACATTAAAGGTGTCAATGGAAAGTTGGGATATTCATATATTGCCTCAGGTAGCCCTGTGGAAATGAAACTTGTATGTTAGCAATAACATTTATTTTAAAAATATTTTTAGACTGATCATATTCAGTGATGTTTTCAGCATTTTAATGCTTCCTCCTACCAGTTTCTGTGTAGATAAAGGAATTAAAACCTGAAATCCCTTACCTAAGTTAAAATGAACATAAATAAGTCCTGATATTCAGTTCTAATTTGAGTTAGAAGATATTCAGGCCTCGGTGTTTTTCATTTTGAGCTGATTAAATTAGATGTTTTGCTTGATTCAAACTGCTTGCATGACATTGGCCTTAAGAGGGATGATGTTAAAATTACCTCCTATTTATTGAACTATCAGCCTAGTTTTATTATTATTATTATTATTATTATTATTATTATTATTAATATTATTTCTTTCAAGACCCACATTTCATGTTGAAAGCCCTGTGAGGTGTGTTTTTCTGTCATGATGAGGATGCATTGTAAAACACCAGCTTGCAAGCTCCTGGAGCAGATTATTCAGCCCAGAAGGAGCTGGTGCTGATGACACAGGTCACTTCCCTCTGGCATCGACGTTCTCCTCCTACGTCTTAAGACTTTATAAATTCCTTTTTTCCTGCCAACTGTGTGTCATTCCATGGCTGGGTCATCCTCCCCTCTTAAAGGGAGACCTCAATGGCCTTGGAATGTGCTCAGGGTTTCCCTGAGCTGAGTGTCACTTGAAGAGACCCCTGAGTTTGCAGCCAGATGTGTGACCTCAGAGTCACCCAGTTGAGCTGGGAAACAAAGGGGGAAAGGAATCAGGAACGTTCCTAACTCCCTTTGGGGTTATTTTTTTTAAATTTTTGTTCATCTCCCGTGACAAAAACCGGAGCAACATCGTGTGTTCCTGGAGTCTGAGAGATCCAAACGGTAAATCCTTGCCGAGGGGGACAGCACTGCCTGCTGGTGGGTGAGTTGTCACCGCACCTGGTGGCGAACGGAGGGCACGGATTTCTAAAGCAGCTTCGTGTTTGCACTTTCTTAATTGCCTTAGGACCGAAACTTTTCTTCCAGCGAGCGTTGAGCGAGTGGGAGAGCAGCGTGAGGAATTCAAATACAAATGTAGCGCTGTTAGGGGGTTTTTGCAATAGCAGTGTTGGCAGAATCCAACAGATTCGCCAGCAGGGCTTTATCCAACCAGCCTTGCTCACTCAAAAAGGACTGTCAGGCCATTCAGGAAAGAAATTAAAGAAATTAAAGACCATTTAGATTTCAAACACTTTGGGATTTGGTCTATGAGCAAGAGGACATACATTTTGTAGTGGAAAAAAAAAAAAAGGTTTTAAGTATGAATGGACATTTCTAGATTTGCCTTCAAAAATGGGCAAAGAAAAAGGAAAGGCTTTACCTAAAGCCTGGCTTAGCTAAGTGTGTGTGTGTGTGTGTGTGTGTGTGTTATCTCTTGTTTTTATACACTCAGAGCATCCTGGGGACCAAAAGGAGCTCGTGGAGGTGAATAAAACAGCGTCCCAAAGTAAGTAATAATCGAGTTCTTTTAGCTGATCGTGATTTTAAGGAAGTCCTGCAGGTCAGGATTTGTAACAGCCTGCAGGTCAGAATCTGCTCTGCATCACTTCCATATTAATCTCCAGTAACTCTGCTGACTTCAGTGGAATGAACCCATGTCTGTAATTGGATCTGTGTTGGGGAAAGTAGCTGGGTTTTTGCTGCAGTTCTTTGTGGCCTCTCATGCCCTTTTGATGTCATCTTAAAATGCTGAATGCTCTTTTTTTAGCCAGTAACCACAAGCTCCTCTTTGCCAACAGGCTCAGCCTTGGAATCTCTTGCAGTGGAAGAGGAACAGCCTCCTCTCCTTTTTTTCCCCAGGGCTAATTTTTATCTCCTTGTCCATGTTAGAGGCACTTGTGATGAAACCTCACAAGGTGGCACCACAACTTCATTTAACTGTTTAAATTTCCCTGCAGCGCAGGATAGGGTGTAGAATCTGTGATGCCCGAACAAAGAGATGAAGGCTGGGGTTAATTACTGATTTTAAGACTGGGCATTGTGACACAGAACGTTTTGTGTGTCTCAACAGCATATTAATAAAAAAATGTTTTATTAAAGTCTCTGAAAATTGAAATGCACTTCAAAAAAAATTAAAGAGGGACTTTCTTGTTGAGACTATAAAACCTCATATTCTAGATACTTGAACAGGTTAAGATGATATTCTGAAATAGCAGAATATGAAGTAAGATAGAGACAGAGTTTTTGTCGTGGAATGAGAAATATTCCCGCTCAGGATCCACAGTAAATCAGTTTGGGCTGAAATCAGATAGGACTAAAAAGAGTTTACAGTGTTATTGCCCAGTACACCTCGGCTGGGCCAGACAGTGGGCTGAAATTTGATGAGGAAGACATTAAGGGTAATAAAATTATAATTGTTCATGCCCTTATTGAGATGTGGGTGTGGGACAGAAGGCCAGGACACAGGAACAGGAGTTCTCCCTGTCTCTCTGTGTCTCTTTGCACTTTGGGTGTCTCGGTGACACCGAGTGACTCTCACCTTCTGTGCTGGGGAAAAGGCACAGACTGCTCCTGGCACAACTCAAAGAGCCTCAGCACTGCACATGGAAGTGCCTTTATCCCACTGGAGGTTCTGCCACTCTAATCTGCAGGGGACATTTCCCAATCTGAACTCGGAATGACGCTCCTTTGTGTTCCCCTGGCCTTAATTCCAGGAGCAGGGACCGGCCAGGCGTGGCTTTGCTGTTGCACTGGAGTCTCCTCCTCCCCTCTGGTGTTTCCCAGCTGAGATCTGCCCAGATCCAAGCGTTTGTGATGGATGAAAAGTCTGGGTTTTAGACACCAAAAGCATTTACTGTGTTATTCACAAGGAGAGAGAATTCTTTTTCATTACTTTTCTTCCTCGAGCTGCTGAAGGGAGGAGCCAACCCAACCAGGAGGATATTCATGTTTGTGAATAGCAGAGGAGGGGGGAAACAAAAAAAAAATCTGGATTTTCAGCCGCTAAAACTTGAATCCATCGAGACACAGTTTTCTGTCCATATATTTTTCCTCTCCTGGAGTGCAGCTGCATAGTTTGTCCATGCAAATAAAGTGTAAATTGCTTGTGAAAGAGAGACAGAAATAGAAGAGCTTGACTCCATCAGAAATGTCGGGAGTTTTACTCCAGTTAAAACGGCTGGATTTCATTCAAATGAGGGAACGTTCAGCTTTGGATTTCACAACAAAATCAGTAGATACAAGTGAAGGGAAGGGGTGAGTTTTGAGGACATTTACAGCTTGCACCTCTTTTTGCCCAGGTTTGGAGTAAGGATGGAAAGGAAGACTTCCCAGTGATGCAGCTCGGAATGCCCGTGATTCCCTGTGCAGTGGGACTGTTTTTGTGGTAAATCCCCCCTGCTGTGTGGCCATGCACACCCAGCACCCCTCAGCTCTCCAGCCCTGCATCAACAACCCCATCCTGCCCGTGCAGATTGAGGCCACGTGTGCCTGGAAATGCAGGGCAGAGTGGTTTAACCCTGCTGAAGAGCCTGGTGGGCACCGGTCCAGCCTCCCCCCCTCCCTTTTTGAGTGTAACTTTTCTGCAGTGCAATCAGTGCATGTGGCAGCCTGCCAGGAGCTCATTGCTCAGGGCTGAGTCACAGCTCTGGCAATTTATTATTATTTTTTTAAAGCTTATTTTAATTTTTTTTTCTTTGTGCACATATAAGACATAAAATTCTGCATACAAAAACATACAGATTCAGAGAGAATTCCCTCCAGGAGGAGTTTGACACTGAAAGACTGGTTTTTTTCTTTTTTTTTTCCCTCTGCCTAAACAAAGGGGTTAATTGGTGTGCATAAATTAAAAAAATTTAATTCAGGGAGGCTTTTCATGTGCTTTAAATTTTTCATCTCTTTCATAGCTATTCTAGTGGCTGCTGTTCTTCTAATGATATAACCAAATATGAGAAGGAAATACAGATAAAATTCCCTGCTGTGATTTCACACATCCTCATCCTCACAGTGGCATTAGAATTTACAGTTTCACAAGTTCCTCTCACCACATTTCTTCAAATTTGGGCTTTCTGCAGAATTTGCTTGCAGATATTCCTGGTGGAATGACTTAATCCCACGTGAGTGATTCTCAGTGTTTTTTCCATTTCCACTTTTCCCCTCTAACTGGAAAAGCAGAGGGGATGTTTGGTGTCCAGAGGAGTTTGTGTGCTTTTTGAGGTCTTTTCATTCCAAGAAATCCACTGAGTTCAGCAGTGGGTTATTCATGCATTAAGCTCAGCCTGATTTGCTTAGAGGAGGGTTTTTAAACTCACTCTGATAATTCCTTAGAACCCAAATATCCCTGGGGGCCTGACCTCCCCAACAGGAACATCCTCCTCACTTCAGTGACAGGATTCACATCAGGTCCCTAAATAATATTTGGCTTTATTGCAACATCAACAAGAAATCAAAACTTGCAGATGATAAATTATTCCATTTCCGAAGAAATTCTACTCAGCAGGCACTGTGAGAGGTGGGAAAACAGATTTACACAAGTATTTTTACTGTCTCATTCTTCACGAGACTCCGTGGAAAAATGGAAGAAAACATTCCAGCTTCATCTGACAGATGAACGATGAAGGGGAATTACAGACTGAGCCAAAACCAAATCCTGCCTTACTAAAATGAGACTGAGAGGGTTGTGAGTCCCTTGA